ATCATTTCTATTTACAACTGCTTCTATTTACAATTTTATTATATACACGATTCTATTCTAAGGGTAAAAAAAATATTTTTTGTGGTAACAAATTCTGTACAACGTGTTAAAAACCTTCTCCAATTCCCTTTCTAAAACCTCCGAAAAATTTTCCTTAATTTGGTCTTAACCCTACCTATTTCAATTTGTCTTGTTCTGTCTTAAAACGCACTTGTTGTAATTTGACTTCAATTTCTATACCGTCCCAAGACTATTCGTCACTATCACAGTACTCTCCGTTAGTGTCCTAAGACCCTTGTACCAAGACCAGTGTCCCAAGGCTAGTGTCCCAAGACTACTGTCCCAAGACCAGTGTCCCAAGGCTAGTGTCCCAAGACTACTGTCCCAAGGGTAGTGTCCCAAGACCAGTGTCCCAAGACTACTGTCCCAAGACTAGTGTCCCAAGGCTAGTGTCCCAAGACTACTGTCCCAAGACTAGTGTCCCAAGGGTAGTGTCCCAAGACCAGTGTCTCAAGGCTGGTATCCCAAGACTAGTGTCCCAAGGGTAGTGTCCCAAGACCAGTGTCCCAAGGCTGATGTCCCAAGACTAGTGTCCCAAGACTAGTGTCCCAAGACCACTGTCCCAAGACTGTCCCAGGACCACTGTCCCAAGACCACTGTCCCAAGACCCTGTCCCAAGACCCTGTCCCAAGACCCTGTCCCAAGACCCTGTCCCAAGACCACTGTCCCAAGACCACTGTCCCAAGACCCTGTCCCAAGACCACTGTCCCAAGACCCTGTCCCAAGACCCTGTCCCAAGACCACTGTCCCAAGACCCTGTCCCAAGACCACTGTCCCAAGACCCTGTCCCAAGACCCTGTCCCAAGACCACTGTCCCAAGACCCTGTCCCAAGACCACTGTCCCAAGACCCTGTCCCAAGACCACTATCCCAAGACTGCTCTGTTTTAAGACTTCTTCGGTCTTGTCCCAATACTCGTCACGGAGTGTCTTCCTCGTTGTAGGGTCTTCTTGAACCACCGTACCTTGTACCACCACTCAAGCTCTAGTAAAATTTTCCCAAAAACCCTCTCTTAAAAGCCAAATGCTGACCCCCCTCTTCTTTTTGGTTGTTTCTCTTTCAATGTAGGTGCGCAGGTATCTTGTGATCACCTGTTCGTATATAACCAAACACAAATCCTCAATAAAATGCAACAAAAAATTTTAAGTAAGAAAAATAATAAAAACAGAAAAATGAGCCCACCTAAAATTTAAAGGTGACCAATGTCTACCTTTCGTCTAAAAAAATTGTCTGGTACCTAATTGCCACGCGTTTTCCTCCCCCCACTAGTGATCTTATGGGGTATCACAAAAGCTGTCTATATCCGGTCCCCCCTACCAAACCAACCAGCGTACCAGTCTTAACTCGAGTTGAATTCTGGATCTCCACCTAATATTACCAACGCGTGTTAATTTCTAATGTAACTAAGTCAACGATGTCGACTAATTAGTTACTCTAATTTCCCCCTTTTTACAATTTACAACCGCCAACCTCTAACTTAACCAGCCCCCCTTCTAACCTCCCCCCTTTCTAGCCCCCCTTCTTAAGCCTAAAAATTACTTTAAGCGCCGGGTGCTAAACCTCTCAAGAGAAAACCGTAGACCTGTTTCCAGGCCTGCTCAAGTAAAAACGTTCCTCAAAACTGGGGGATTTCGCTTATCCAATTTTACACTTATCTCCTATAATGTAATGTGGATTCTAACGATACCCGTTTTGCCCAACTTGAGAACTCGAGAATTGCCAAATCCTTCTTGGCTGCTTTCCCACTCGACTGGTCACCTGTTCCAGTCCAGTCTCCTATTGGTTCAGCCAAGTGTCCCTGAACCACTCTCCCACTCGGCTGGTCACCTCTTCCAATCAAGTCTCCTACTGGTTCAGCTCAAGTGTCCCTGAACCACTTTCCCACTCGGCTGGTCACCTCTTCCAGTCAAGTTTCCTATTGGTCCAGCTAAGTTCCAAGCTATCTGAAAACCCTTGACAACGCCCCACTTTGGGCACTTTATTCAGTTTACTGGTTTAAATTGCTAGGTTGATCGAAACGATCGAACTTGTAAAACAGTATGGGTATACTATTTAATTAATATAAAGGTTTGATCCAACTAATCTGGTGTCAAAGTCACTGTCTTTTTTCGTTTTATGGTTTTTGTTCCTTTTTCTATTCTTTTTTGGTTTTTGTTTTGCTTTTTGTCTTTTTGCTCGTGTTTTTGTCTCCCTAGTTGCCCCCCTTTACTCGGTTAGCTAAGCCTCGTTCGGAGAGCGTACCAGGAAATTTTCTCGAGTTTTCTTAAAAAGCTATCACGGTACAACCGGAAGGTTTGCACGTTCCTGTCGAACCGTACCGCCGGTACTCTAGAATGGGCATTCAGCCCGAAGCTGTCTCAAGTGGGTTCGACTCCGTAGTCTTGATGTCGTAAACACCCAGGAGCGCCATAAAAACACTATGTAACATTCGTCTACTGCAGTCACACATGAGGCTTAAGAAAAGTAGGCCCTATAACCACTGGCTCAAGGGTCAGGGACACTATCTCTTGTGTTTTCCCACCTCAAGAACGGTCGGAGCCAGTTCGGTTCGCTTATGACATGAGACTACGACCCGTTACAGCTTAAAGGCTACTACTAAAATATCCCCCCACTCTAGAATTAGAAACGTCCCCATACTTAGGTCTCTAGATACCCAAAATACATGAACGCCGTTAAAAACCGGGTTGGAACAATCCGTTAGGTTACTTTTTATTAGACAGTGTGACTTTGATCCATTTCAGATGGATCAACCTAAAACTCGCCTTATCTCAACATAACAATCATAAAACACACTCTAGAAATTAAATTTGTACTCACATAGCAGCACGCTCAAGAATTGGGAAATAATCCAGTCAGTAACTAACTCAAGAAATAAATGACTAAGAGAAGTTTAATGTTTTATAGTTTAGACAGCAAGGATAAGTTCATGCTCTAGAATTTGAGTTCTCTTGGACCGTTGGGACACTCTAGTTGTCCGCCTTTCCGCCGAAGGTTCACTCTGGTCCAACTTTAGTAATCGCTCTCTCGGGGATACTCTGTCTTCTATTTCAAGTAGGACAGCTCTACTCTCGATTATATATAGATGGAAATTGCGAATAGCAATTTCCCACTCGTTTTTACTTTCTAACTTTCCCGCAATTGCTCTAAAATTGTTCTGATTTCTTTTTCTGATTTTCAGTTGTCGCGAGAAAATCGTGCATGACATGTTCCATTCGAATTTTTGAAAAATAAAATTTCTCTCCAAAATCAAGTATTTTCTGCTCTTCTCAAGGTCAAACTTCCAAATATGACCGACTGGCACATAAGTACAGGTCGTAGGGGTGTCTCATCCTTGTTTACCTTAGCTAAACCGTACAAACGGGCGGGTTGCCCCCCTGTTGATCTCATCTTAGAATATAACTGATCACTTATCTCGTCTCTTTTGTTCATGGCTAGTAATTCTTTGTTAAGTTCTTTCTCAATTTTCAGTATCACCTCATCAGTGGTTGCATCTTTTTTCACAAACTGAGCAAATTGCAACAAGGATTCCAGCTTTGATTCATATGTTTGTTTCCTCATTATGCAAAAACCAACCCCCTTATCAAAAGGCACAGCCAGCAACCCATTATCTTTGAGATGTTTCCTCGTTTTTTCAACGGCTTTGTCTCTTGGGGTTTGCCGTACGTTTTTTGCATATGCCTTTGCCGCGGCTTCTATTTCACATAACGTTTCACCAGATGTTTTTTTGATTTTTCAATTGTGAGAGGAAAATGTCGATATCCGCCAAAAAATGTGTTTCGTTAAATTTGTCTCTAATTGGATTCTTGGGGCCCATTGATAGCACTTCATATACCCATTCAGGCAGTTCAATATTATCAAGTACCTTAACTGATCGCTCATTTCTCCCCCCAAGAGGTTTATCTTGTCTCTCGGACAGTTTTTTTAACTTTTTTCTATGGTTTTCTGATGTTGTATTTAAGCTTGCCTCAACTTGACGTTTCACGAATCGGAAAATGGATGCCCACCACTGTTTGTCAATTTCTTTTTGCACCAGTGATCTTGCTTTCCTTAGCATCTCCTCGTACCTTTTCCTATCCTCATTTGCCCTAGAAGTTTCAGTCCTTAGTAGTTTCAATTGAAAATTATGCAAAGCTTGGTCCGAAAAAACCCCGTTCTCGGGGACCTTAAACTTCAAAAAGTCCGGTATTAGATCGTTTTTCAGACATTTTCTCAGAAACTTCAGTCTTTGTACAGATACTTGAACTTTTTTAAAGAATTTTAAATAGTCTAACACAATTTTCCAAGTTAGTTTCCTTTTCAAAATTTGTCTGAGCCAAACAGCAGGCAAAAGTACTGTGGTCATTGTTTTGCAGGCCACGAGTAATGAAACTCACAAGGCACAAAGCAAAACAAATCACACTCTTCTCACCCCTGTCTTTGAAGCGCAGACACTTCCTCTGCCCTCAGCTTCTGCTCACGTCTTGCTTTCGCCTTCCTTCTTGTCTGTGATGGTCTCTGTTGTTTGCCCCTGATATTGCCAATCAGCTCTGACAGCCTTTCTTTGTGTGCCACTACCAATCGCAGAAATTTGTTTTTTCGCTATTTTTTGAGGAAATTTTGTTTCCAAATGCATCTTTATAAAGTTTTGACAAATTTCTTCGGAAAAATTTTGGAAAGCTTCAAGGTCTAACATCACGATTAAATCAAGAAATTAAAAGAGCATTTAAAGAACCGATTGTTCACTTTAAAATCAAATTGGTTGTGTATTCCCTTGTAACGCGGCTTCTTTTGTTTGTTGTCTCGGTTGCTTCTTTTTCCTGGCGAGTTAAGTATAACGTGAAATGAAGTAAAGAGAGTCAGATGGTTGGGAATCAAGCCTACCAGATTGAGAAAACTAGCATCTGCACAGAACGAACCTTCATATAGTCGCTTTCTTTTACTGTCTACTACCTGCCTTGCTATTAATGTGTTGTATCGCAAATGGTGCGAGGCTCCGCTTCGCCTCTGTGTTGTTATTTTGCGTTCTCGTCTAATTCATCGAGTTCGCCGAAGTCTAAGGGACGTTAAATTAAGAAAAAAATTACTTTATAAAGTTTGTGTTAAAAGCTTCCATACATTTACTGAGATTTCACTGTAACGATTTCACTGCGTGTGGTGAATTTGCAAGTTTTTAGGTTTGATGTTTTTCTGCGCTGGAAGCTTTTGAATAATTGCTTTTGATGCTGTATGTGCTTCTCTCGAAATAGCCACCATGAGTGATTCAATTGAAAACGTGCTTTTGAAACAAATCCAGACAAATGCTGAATCGAATCATGCACCTGCTGTGAGAAAAACCAATGAATCTAATCGCCAGGAAAGAAGGCTTTCTAGGTGTTCCAGCACTAGTTCTGATCGATCAACTCGAAAAAGAAAATACCCAGAATCACGGAAAGCAGATGAAAATGGGCGCACGAAGCGGCAATGCAATATAAAGGCAGAGATCTTAAAAGTGGTCAATGAAAGCGGTAAAACAACGCCGAAAGTCAAAACTGCCTCTCGTGATCTCGTAGAAAATCAGGATGGAAGTCTAACTTTTCAAAGGGATTTTAAAACATTAGCTTCTTTAAAAAGAATAAGTGCAGGAGCGTTTTCATGGGAACTGACCCATACATTTACTGAGAGCCATTCTTATAAAAACGGAGTACCCGACGATAGTTGTGAAATTCACCCTATTTACGGAGTTCATATAGCCCCTTTTACAATTCCAGATCCCTGCATTGATGCAGAGGAATCAACAGAACCGCATTATCTTATCGCAACCACTGGTTCTAAATGGGTTCAAATTTACACCTGTACAGAGAAATCCAAATTGAAATTAATACAAGTTCATTCTGGTCCTCAAAACGATAATTATTATAACGTCAAGTTTACGAAGTTTGACGGAATAATCTATCTTGTTAGTGCGGGGGAGAACGGAACAGTAAGGGTTATAGATGTAGCTAAAGGAGACCTCGATCACTCTTTCGAGGGTGCTGCAAATCCAATAAATGACATTCAAATTCATCCAATATTTCCGGAAGTTATAGCGCTGGCATCTAAAGACATGTCGACTCATCTGTGGAACATCAAATCTCGAACTGAGATAGCTATTTTCAGTGGGCGGAGTTTAGAAGGTCATAGCGATCAAGTTTTGACGGTCGATTTTAACCAAGATGGAACGAAATTACTGTCCTCAGGCATGGATCATAACGTTATCATATGGGATCTGGTAGGTAGGTTGGGAATCGAGAAGGAAATCGAATTGTCATATGATCTTTCAATTAAACATGAAAGCAGCCCTCGTCTCCCAGTTTGGAAGCACTTCGTGTTTTTGAAATGCTCAAGTGTTCATAGAAACTACGTCGACTGTGCTAAATTTTATGGCAATATCATCATTTCGAAAAGCTGCAATCAAGACGCGAAAGTGTGCGCGTGGATACCAACGATAATGTCGGAAGACGCTAGTCGCGTGAAGTCTGAGGTCGACGTTTTGTTTCAATATTCGTTTCCGTTGAAGCCAGAGCCGTCCTGGTTTATGAAGTTCAATTTCGACTCTTCTAGGCGTTTCATGGCTGTCGGATTAATGGACGGTCGGGTTATGGTAATGGACCTGCATAGTTCAGAAGATCCAATGGATCTGAGAACTGTTTATCTGCAGGGGAAAACAGAAAGACAAGGGTTGATAAGAGAATCTTGTTTTTCGCCTGATGGAAAATTTCTAATTTCAGTAGACGAAACAGCGAAAGTGTTTAAATACAACATCAAAATTGCACAACCAACTGCGACCAAGAAATGATTTGATTTCAGTGACTACTCGATTTTAAAATGGTTTAGCTTTTCTCTAGTTAAATAACTGAGCTGCTTCTGAGTTTAACTTAATAAAAGTACCGACTGATCACTTGAAAAAAAAAATAAACCGACTGTCAATCAGAATAAGTAAGTCCTCGAGCTCACTCCTTATATTTCATTAGGATATCGATGTATCAGTTTTTTGCAATGTTTTGAAGTTCCTTTTTGATTTTTAATCAATCTGTACACTGATACATGTTTAAGTCTCTATGTTGACATAATCAAATGCCAATATGGTGCGGAGTTCAAAATTTTTTTTGGAGTCAATGTTCTAAAACATTTTAATCGAATATTGAAAAGCGTCTCTTTGTTCAAACGAACTATTGAATGCAAATTTCCAAAATCATCTACGGTTTTCATAATTTATCTGCTGGAGCGCGAATTTCGTTTTTTTTCGCAACATAACTTTTCAAAAAATTGTTCACTTTCGTGAAAAATAGCAACCTTTTGTTGCGGGCGATGTCAAGATTGTCAGAGGGGCTGAATGCTCATATCTTTAAATTTTCCTGATTTTTTCATAAGTTTTCAAAAAACTTGGATTTAAAAAACTTCACGAAATGTGAAGTTTTTAACCCAATTTTAAGGTGCTGTCAGGGTTCTACCTAGACTCAGCATCAGTTCTGATCTCTGTATATGGTCGCCGAAATCTTTTCTGCCAATTTTTTTGCCGAAAAGATATGCCGATTTAATGATTTTTCAAAATTTTCCATTAAGCTTTTGTTTTCAAAAACTGTAATTTGAAACATTCACTTTATTGTATAGTGCTTTCAGGAAATGACAGGAGTTGCAAACTAGGTTCGATTTATGAAGGCTCTTAAATTTTAGGTTTCTGAGACATGAAATTTTTCATGATGTTTTCCAAAAGAATATTTTTCCTGGTAAATGTCTATTAAAAATAGTATGGGTTGAACAATTGATGACAGCAATTTATGTTTTTATGGGCTAATGAAAGTGAATAACTTAGTTGAACTAAAAAACTTTTTAGGAAATAAATGATTATTCAATATATAAATCGTTTTCGAACTTATTACCATCGCGTGTTTTAGTAAGAACCCTATTTTTTTCTAACCTAACTCGCAATTAAAAGTGGTCATTAAAAGTTTTCACTTGTTGTCTTTTTGCTATAATCACAATCTGTAACATCGGAAATTTCATAGCATTTGTTCTCGGCTTTGTTTTTGGCGAGTGTCTGTGATGGACTAAGCGTACGTGGCTGAGTTTTTATTGCGTGAGACTCAAATTTGCTAGGTCGCAATAGGGTGTAGGTTCGAGTCCGAGACGTCGCCGAGTTTATACTAACTAGCGACCTTCGTTAAGTTATTAAAAGCACTTAATGCAAGGTACAGCACTTGCTGCATTAAAGAAATTACTTTGAATTTTCAATTCATATAAAAATATGTATATATATGAACACAATAGTTTTTACTATTGTCAAGCAGCAGAGAAATCTCTGGCCTTACCTCCTCATCTCCAGGGTCTACGGAGAAGGTATCCAGTTCTCCAAAAGTCCTGGACGACTCTCCAAGAGTCCTGGAATCCTCGACTGAAACAAACATCAGCATAACAGACTGTTCAAACAAACAAATGAAACAAACATAAATTTCTGTGAAAACTCAAGAATTAAATTAAACCGTATACAGCTGTCAAATACACTTTTTGTCGTGTTTTCGCTAGTGTTTGCGAAGCGTAGCTTCGCGTCCGGGTTTAAATATGGAAACTGCAATTGTATGCTGTCGGCGTTTTTGTGTGATTTGAATGGACATTTGAGGCGTTACACGCTGTTCTGATAGTAGTTGTGAGACTTCAATTACTCAAATTGGAGCTACAGAATTCTTGGGAGATAAAATTGAATAAAAAGACAGCGACCAGGTTAGAAAAACTTTTTTTTTCGTAGACATTTAATAAATTAGTTCAGCTTACACATAAGCAGTGCTTCTGAAGCGATGTTCGTTTTAAACACTTGAAGTTTGATGGCGGGTCTATAAAGTTAATGTTGAATAGTTGAACAAAATTATTGACACTATGATTAACTCAGAAGATAAAAGACGAACTTGCCAACTGCTTGTGCACAAACCGATGCTCAATTGAAGAATCTGGGTGCTCTGCGAAGGTTCTTCTACGATGTTTTTCAAGCAGAAATAATCATCAAAATGAATGCAGTTGAGGCCTAATATGATGGTGGTAAAAAATCGATATCTATTTCGATGAGCTGGTGAGAAATTGGCAAGGAATTTGAATATTATAGGAGTACAATAGGAGGTAACCATCGATGAGACCACCTAAGTCCCTGGTAATTGAGCTGTTCTAACATACGAAGTGAGCAGACACAAAGAAAGTGCTGCACAAGGAAAAAAAAATAAAAAAAGCCACCTCGTCACCTAGGAGTTAACCTGGTCGCAGTAACTTAAAATAGTTTTACTCTTTTTATTTTAAGGTTTTTCCACGTAAGTAACCCTGATAAAGGGGAAAGGTATAAAAAGTGACACTTGGTTTTGTTTTAAAAAAGTAACAGAGCTAATAAATCAAACTAATAAATCAACTACTAAGAAAACAAACTAATAAACCAAAATATGTAAGATTTGTTCAGAATAGCGAATAAGAAGTTAAAACCGTTATTTGCGAGTACTGATTGCAGCAACTTTGGCTGCATTTTCTCACTGAGCGTCGATGTTGATCAAGCACTAAGCATAAATCGGGTCACTTAATTCCTATTTCAGAGCTACCAGGTAAAATATCCGATTCGTCGAACAATTCGCTCTAAAACGAAATTATTGATCAGCAGCTAGTGCTATTTAATAAGTTTATCACAACAATTAGGCACCCCGTTCAGTTTGATTTCTATTGTGATTGTTTGTGCTGAAATTCATTTAACCGCCGTGGTGTTAGGAATTAGCAGAACGGTTTCTAGCATACCAATCTTCTGGCTGACTCAGAACGATTAGCAAGTCTGAAGGCTAACTTCAAACCCGGCATTGGTGATAAGGCACCGCTCGCTTCGCTGTGCATCCATTCGGAACGAAGATTATTGTGCGTGTAAATCTGCTAATTAAGACGGTTGTTTTCAAAGTTGAAAGTTTTGTTGCAATTGTGAGATAATTGTCTTAATTGGGGAAGTTTTATCCAAGATTGAGCGTCTTTTTGAGTCTGTCAATCAATCATGCATCAGTTTATTACGTTGTCTGCTAAAAGATTAATTTTTCATTTTTTATGCTTAAAGGTTGGTCTGCTTAATAAGCGGCCCCCAAGCGCTATCAATTGGCAGGTTTTCTTTAATAGCTCTGGAAAGAGGACTATTTCATCTGACGAGATAATGGTGGCATTTTTTCTGAATTCTATTTTTCCAGCTCCTAAAAAGCCCATTTAAAGATTTGAATTTGAGATTATAGGTTAGTGATTTCAGTAATTAGGGGAAGGTCTCGAGAAACTTTCGCTCGAACGAGAAAGGAACTACGAAAACTTTTTTTTTTCTTTAAGCGTACATAAAATTCAAAGTGCATAACAGATACAGAGTCCCGGTCGATGAGTATGTACGATGTGGTGGGAATAGAGACAGAGACAGACTCTCCATTTCTCATTAATTTTCAGTTTTCCTATTCATATTTCGATACCTTTCAACATGGTTGACTTTCTATTACTTATTTTGACCACGTCTGGGTGGAGAAACAAAGGAGAGAGGTTTCAGAGGAGTTTCTTTTGCCTTAGAGTATTTACGGGTGTGTTTTAGTTTTTTTTGTTCAGAATATTTGAAAAATGAGAAGGAATTTTGTATTCGGGTGTGTTTTAGTTTTCCTCGCAAAATCCGGTACCACAAATAGTCATCAGAGTGTGTCGATGGATATATCATATTAAAGCCCTTTCAGTTGTGATTCGAACGACTTTTCAAGTTTTTAGAAGGCTTATTATAGAAAAATATAAAATGAAATTTTAGTTTTCTTCCAGAAAAATTATTGTTTGAAGTTTTTAGTGCCAGTTTTGAAACAAAAAATTTCAAAATTACATCAATATCCGCAAAAAAAACTATTTGAAAATGTAGACAATTTTTTTGATTTTTCATGTACCGCAAATGATCACTCAAAATCAGTTACCGCAAATGATCATTGAAATGGGTTGAAGATGTCGCGGTGTCGAGTAAAGTTGTTCCAGTGTCGTTTTTATGAATATGGCATCGGTTCTTTCTGTGGTATTTGTACAGCAACCGGCTATCCTTCCTTGTTATTGTTTTTGAAGAAAAAATTTTGGTTCTTTGTTTATAAATAAACAAGACTGCTCGTATCAGGGCGAAACCCTGAATGTTCCGACTGCCTTTTAAGCTTTATGAAGCAGTAATAACATGAAGAAAATTAAATGTAATAAAAATAGAATAAATTTTTTTTTCTAAAGTTTGAAATTTTTAAATGAAATTCATCCCCCCACACGCCATATAAGGTACAAAAGGATAGATTTCGCTCCTTGTAACAAATAAATTATGGCAAATAAGCTTCTTGCAACCAATTTGGAACGATTTCTAAGACGGATTAAATCTCCGCTTACGCGTTAAGAGCGCGAAATATATCGCGCGTTAATTGTCCCAATTCGGCCAAAATGGCAATCTTTAAACCACCATAACTTTACGAAAAATGATCACAGGTGAAATATTTTTTCAAATTTAAGCTCAGGACAACAATACCTTTCGAATGATATTAAAAATTTCCGCCAAAAATGGCTAGTTAAAATGTCGAAATTTGTCTGAAGAAAAAAAAACCCACCCCGAGCACAAATATTCCGTTACTTTCGTATCGAAAGTCGGAACAATAAAATAAACAAAAGTATTTCTCAGTTTTGTTTTTTATTTAAACAAAGACCTAAAGTGATTCTTGCATTTGCTTGAGTGGCAAAAACCTAAAGATAACAAAATTAGTCGGTACAAGTTACTACGTTAATTGTCGAATTATTTAAGTTATTTATGGCGTTGTTTTTGGACTAAATTAGGTCTTGTCATGATTTTTGTATTAATGTTGAGTTATTTGTGAGACACAATTTATGATTTGAATTCAAAATTTCACGGCAAGTTTTTTTTAAATAGAGGAAACAATTAATTGAAATATAAAGTTAGAAATAAAAAGTTTTATGGTATAACACAAGATTTCGGTAAGCGACGCTATCAGTTATTACGCTTTTGAATGATCCGCCTCCCCTTCAACGTTATGATTTCAAAAAATTGATGAAATTTAAAAAAGAAGTTTGAAAGCATCGCTGCATTTCAGTTTCGAACAATTTCTGAGCCAGATGAAATAGCCGCTTACGGGTTTTGTAGCACAAATAATATATCGCGTGTTTTGATAAATTTTTATGGCAATTTCAAACTTCTCAAACAAAAAAAATTACAGGTTAAATTTCTTTTGAAATTAAGCCCAGAACAGGACGTCAATACCTTTCGTATTGTATATTAAAAAACTCTGCTAGAATTTGGCTGGTCAAAATTTGCCAAAAAAACAGCACAAATTTTCCAACATTTCCATCGAAATTGCGGAACAATAAAAATCATAACAATATTAACGCGTCTCCTGTGGGATTCGCTCCTTTAATTTTTTAGAACAGTTAGATCCTAGCTCTAATCTTTTGTATTTCAGAGAACTATGTATATATTGCTGTACATATTATCTTTGATGACAAATGGCGTGTTTTGTAACCTGGGAAAACCTGCGGAGCAGGACCTCAACATGATTTTCGGTGAGTCACATCGGCTAAATGAAGGCATCAGAATATCTTTATATTATTCAGTATCATGTTTGCCATTAGCAAGTTCATCAGATAACTGTGGTGTATAGTCAAAGAGTTTTGAGTCGGTGGTAAAATCTGGATACTTGTGAAATAGGTCAAAGTCTCTGAGCATAAAAAGATAAGCTACCTTAGAGAAAAATGGCACTAAAAACCAAATTAGAATTCATGGCGTTCATAAAAGCGTAGTACGGCGTATTGAGTACCGGATTGTTTCAAGTGTTGCTCCCTCATTCAGCGTTAGTCAGCCAGCCTGTAGTCTTGATATTTGAATTTGTTCTGTTAGATCTGAGCTAAAAAAAATTGTTTTGACAAGTTTGAGCCAAAATGCTCAAGGCATGCTAGCCAAGTTTTTGAATTGAAGCGGCGCCCGTGAATTAATCTGTTTTTTTTTTTTCAATTGTCAGACATGAAGCACCAGTATAGCTATCCGGATGGTCTGAGGTCCACCAGCAACCTCAACGGCGACAGATGTTTCGACAAGGTACGATTTTATGAAGCGCCGCAAAATCTGATAATTATGATGAGAGCGTATGTTTTGTGTGGCGCCATGTTTTAAATCTGGGTTTTTTTTTTGTTGCGTAGCCTGGTTCCTTAGTCTCAGTAAAAATAGATCTGTTTTTGCAGGCAAAAATCAACAAAAAAGCCCGTTCGATTATCTGGGAATATTTGGCCGAAAAATGTTCGGATTCCGTGCTCACTACCCTCTCAAAATTTGAATTTGAGCAGATTGGCGCAGGAAATTTTTCGAAAAAAAAGTGAGGGGTTCATCGGTCTGACCCCAGTTTAAGAAATGGTGCCGCCTCTGAAATTTGCTTCTGAATTCATTTATTTATCCTTGCGATAAGCAAGGGTGTTGCACTCGGGTTCTAGACTTTTGTTTTCCCATAAATAATTTTAAGCGCAGAATAGTCAAAGGTGTAGGAATGGCAAATTTCACACATGTTCAATTTCATGGAAATTCAAATAAAACTAACTTCATTTGGGTAGTAAATAGGTGTAGTATGTTTCCGGTGTTAATTTGTTTTCAGAAAATTTTCTTTAAAAAATTTTGATTTTTCGGATTTGTGGTTTTCGGCCTAGTTTCCGTCGGTCTAATTCCCGTTTTTTTTTAAAATGAAATTTGTTTTATTTGTTGTTTTTTTTCGACTTTTTTGTTTAGTAGGGATTATATTTTGATCTTGAGTTTTTTTACTCTTGTTATTGAAACTTTGTCATTTTACCAAGTCTTGTTTCAATAATTTTTTTACGGTTTTTTTTATTAAACGATTTCAGATTATATTTTATGGCACAATGAACTTCTATTGCGTTGTTTCGATGGCAAAATTTCTATTCTACTAAATCAGGTTTTATTACAAACTCGAAAGCAACTGTCTTGAAATCGGGAACAAGACTTTTTCCAGGAAACAAATTTTCTTACACAAGTTAACTTTTCTTCAACTTGCTTTTTTATTGAGCGTTCACAACCTCACTCGGCCTAGAATAACGCCGTCGATTTTGTACCCTATGGTCTGGGGTTCGACTCTTAGCCTGACCGTGTTTTTTCAGTATATATGCATTTGAACAATAAGTTCGATAAAAATTGAATTGTTGCTAAAATTTTGTCGGCTCAGTTGCCACATCACAAATCTTTTTTGTCCTGTAAGCAATTTTCAATGCAAACGCAAGCGTTGTTCTTTGTAGGTTCAGGGAGGTGGACTTGGAATTTTTCTTTTTTTTTAAAAGTCGGTTTGTTTTTCGGCTCTACAGGTGTCTGCTCAAAAATTGTCTGCTTAGTTGCCACATAAGTGATTTTTCTTCTTTTGCGCTGTAGGCAACTTCCTCTGTAGTTGAAAGTGCAAATGTTGTTCATTCTAGTCTCAAGTGAGACTTGAAATTGTAAAGACTTTTATGAAATCATTTTTTTCTGCTCACCTTGTGTCTTCATAAAGGTTGACGGCTTTATTTCCTCTTCGTAAGTTTTTTCCCGCTGCTAATTTAATTTTCAAATTTCTATCATGTTAGCCTAGAATGAAATTCTATCGAGACATACGAAAATTTATTTCTTGGTAGACCTATTTTTTTAACGTTTTCCATTATTTCTGTTTTTATTTTTGTGTTAAATCGCAAGTGATGCGAAGCTACGCTTCGCCTCTGGGTTGTAATTTAGATCGTTTTATAAATCCTTTTTAAGAAAATTTATTTTATTTTCTTTGTTCTATTTTAGTTGTGGTCGAAGAAATAAATGTCTATACCATTTTTAGAATATCAATGACCTCAATTCAAAGTCGAAAAACTATTCATCTGCGATTAATTTTGATTGGACCAATTCAAGGAGAGAAAAGGACATGTAGTGATGGGTATTTGAAATGCTTTTCATTACTTTCCTTTTGGAGTGATTGTTGTAGTCGGAACATTCTGCGGGATTTAACAGCGACTGACTATTCTCTTTTATTCTTTTATTAAACGATTTCAGATTATTTTTTATGGCACAATGAACTTGTATTGCGTTGTTTCGATGGCAAAAATCCTATTCGACTAAATCAGGTTTCATTACAAACTCGAAAGCAACTGTCTTGAAATTGGGAACAAGACTTTTTCCAGGAAACAAATTTTCTTACACAAGTTAACTTTTCTTCAACTTGCTTTTTTATTGAGCCTTCACAACCTCACTCGGCCTCGAATAACGCCGTCGATTTTGTACCCTATGGTCTGGGGTTCGACTCGTAGCCTGACCGTGTTTTTTCAGTATATATGCAATTGAACAATAAGTTCGATAAAAATTGAATTGTTGCTAAAATTTTGTCGGCTCAGTTGCCACATCACAAATCTTGTTTGTCCTGTAAGCAACTTTCAATGCAAACGCAAGTGTTGTTCTTTGAGTGTTCAGGGAGGTGGACTTGAAATGTTTCTTTTTTTTAAAAAGTCGGTTTGTTTTTCGGCTCAACAGGTGTCTGCTCAAAAATTGTCTGCTTAGTTGCCACATAAATGATTTTTTTTCTCTTGCGCTGTAGGCAACTTACTCTGTAGTTGAAAGTGCAAATGTTGTTCATTCTAGTCTCAGGTGAGACTTGAAATTGTAAAGACTTTTATGAAATCATTTTTTTCTGCTCAACTTGTGTCTTCATAAAGATTGACGGATTTATTTCCTCTTCGTAAGTTTTTTCCGCTGCTAATTTAATTTTCAAATTTCTATCATGTTAGCCTAGAATGAAATTCTATGGAGACATGCGAAAATTTATTTCTTGGTAGACCTATTTTTTTAACGTTTTCCATTATTTCTGCTTCTGTTTTTATTTTTGTGTTTAATCGCAAGTGATGCGGAGCTCCGCTTCGCCTCTGGGTTGTAATTTAGATCGTTTTATAAATCCTTTCTAAGAAAATTTCTTTTATTTTCTTTGTTCTATTAATTGTGGTCGAAGAAATAAATGTCTATAGCATTTTTAAAATATCAATGACCTCAATCCAAAGTCGAAAAACGATTCATCTGCGATTAATTTTGATTGGACCAATTCACGGAGAGAAAAGGACATGTAGTGATGGGTATTTGAAATGCTTTTCATTACTTTCCTTTTGGAGTGATTATTGTAGTCGGAACATTCTGCGGGATATAACAGCGACTGACTATTTTCTTTTATTCTTTCTTGTCAGGTGCGTTGCTTCATGTCAGAGTGGGACTACATGAGTGAGTTCTCGACTGATCTGAGCGCCACTTACCAGTCTCTATTCTGGGTGGTGGAGCCTCCTTCTGAGTGGTGGATGAATGCGGAGAATGACAATGCAAACTACTCTGTCAGTCTCAACTGCAGAGCACAGAGCTACGACTACGACTCACATGTGTTCTACGAGTAAGTTTAATCAAAATTAGCCAAGCTATTGTAGCCAGGTAGTAGAGTTTTTTTGCGCATAAAACTTAATGAACAGAATTGGCGCTTGAGATGTTGGGTGTTTTATAATAAATTCAATTTCAATGAAGGCTAGCTGTCATGCTTTTTTGTGTGGCGGCAAGTGGGGTGACGACGTTTATTAAATATTCAACAGCTTAGGAGCGGACATTCTTTGATTCTGCTTTCGGCTGATTTCCAAAACTGCGTTCGATTGGTTTGAAAACTGCTTTGGGCTGTTTTTTTTTGTTTTAAACACAAGAAAACGGTTGTTATATTTCACCTATTTTTGAAATGATTTGAATGCAATATCTGTATGCTGCTCATGTGTTTTATTCGTTTTATCGGTGGCTTGTGTTTGAAAGACAGTAAGGACATTTTGCAAGACTTTGGACTCTAAATCTTTGTCGAAGGTTCGAATCCTGATGTCTCATTTGGTTTTGTTTTTCAAAGTTTAATGACCTACTTTTGCTTTTTCTTGCCATAAAACTCCATTATGCCAGTTTTTGATGCTTTTGTTAGCAAAGTTCAGCCTCGGTTTTATGTCAAACTTCGCAATCTTTCAACAAAAACACATGTCACATCAAATGAATAGAAGAAAATGTATTTATCAGGTGGCGTAAATCGATAACTGGCGGCCAGGAGATAAGCATTGACGAGAATGACCCAAGGATATCGATAGTGAGTGGTCGGCTCAATATCCACCGGCCGAGGAGGGAGGACGCAGGAGTGTACAGGTGCTACGCCAGAAACAGACTGGCCACTATTGTCAGCCGGGAGACAAGACTCAGGGCAGGCAGTGAGTCATTTCGATACATCACCCATCCAACTATTAAGGACTAATCTATTGTTTAAAAGGCCGTCTCAAATGTCGAATTATTATTAGACAGCAATTCAATCGGGATTACCATTGATCCTGCGAGTACTTTTGTCGGTTAGTGTTTTTGTCGGTTGATCCTGCGAGCGTAGTGATAATGCGCATGCTTAGGACAACAAAGCTAGGGGTTCGGTTGCGGCCAGGAGCATTACTTTTTGGAAATTGGCAAACTTTCTGGTTTGAACATTTAAGTTGGGCATAATTTTTGTGGGTTGTTTTTTTTACGTTAGAATGAATTTTTACTAATTCAAGCAATTTTTACGAATTGATGGTAATTTGGTCCTGTCCTGTAATGGTCCGAGTAATTGCGTTACAAAAAAATGGCCCAAGTTTTTCTGTGAAAAAAACCGAATTTTTTGTGCGATTTAATATTGAAGAGAGAAAGAATTCATTTCTCATTTTGTTAATGATAAATATGCATATAACGTGAATTTAAACATGAAGCACCAGAACCAGTGAGGGGACAGTTAACGAACCCAATTGGGTTACAGAGCACTGCCCGTTTTATCAAATGAAATACGAAATTTGAGAGCTTCAAAGAAAAAGAAAAATATATAAATCTGAAAACATAAAAGAAGATATTGGAAAAAATACTTAAGTTTGAATAAACAAAAAGCAGCAAATCCATGGCATTGTCTAGACAGGTTAATGATATAAGGTCCACGCTCTGCATCAATATTTAAAATGATTGTTCAATCGTTGTCGGTATAAAACCAAATTAAATAAGAAAAAGTTCAAATTAATCACTCATAATTTCTGAAACTCGCTAGTCCTAGGCACCTCTATTCGGTTTCAAAAACAAAACTAGAACTTGTTCACTTTACGGATACTGCTTCTACTAATGGTTTCCCTTCCCTTGAAGCCTCTCTATCATCAGTAGAACTGATTGGGGGCTAAACGGTCAGTAGACACCTAACTGAGACCATGCGGCAGTAACAAGCGAACAAGCCCAAGTGGGGTTTTCAAAACGCCGAAAACACATTGAAAACCATATAACATTATATTCAAAAAAACTTGAAACATGTAGGCATTCCGCATCTGTCATTCTTCGGCATTATCCTTGCATCCAAAAGAAATGTCAACAAAAAACAAATTTGATTAGCTCTTCATTGCTTAATATAAACAAATCACGAATTTCGTGGACAATGCATTGAATATCTGAATTGGAAACTTGATCAAAATTTTTTTGGAATGAAGGAATTTTGTCTAAGTATAATAAAGAGCTTAGCTCCTCTGTAGCTAATTGAGATATTAAGATTTTTTAAAAATTCTTTTGTTTCTTCGTTTCACTTGAAGTCAACAAGAAAGGATTCGATTTTTTTTCTTTTTTTTTTACCACATGATTGCGTCATGCGTTTTGAATTGTTCTAACCGTCATCGCCTATTTTCCAAGAATTTTTTGGAAAACAGTTTGTTGCGATTTTTCAAATCGAACCGTCATCCGCTCTTTCTTGATGCGCATGCAAACTTAAAGTCCAATTCCCACAGAGCCCTCGCCTCTTCTTTTCTTTCATCAGCATGATGAAGCTTCATGTCGATGAGGCTCAGCCCATCCCGTATGACGGTTAGCCAGACGATGATGGAGATCCACGATCAGATGCGTTTTTATTCGGCTGAATTGTTCTTGGCTGCGCTTGTTGATTGCTGACAGCAATGCTCTCTCCTAGCTATTTGGAAGTGTCTTTTGCCATTTCACATATTTTAACTAAATATAAGCGTGCTTAAGGCAATTAAATGCAATTGAAAATTTAAGTATGCAGAATGCTATTAGGTAACCATAACTAAGTGTTCCTTCTTTATTCATAATCTTGGCTCTTTAACGTATTTTTCATTATTTTGTGTATGTGAAGTTTATATACTTGCAGTTGTGTGTGATGTATGTCATATGATTGTGTTCAGCCACGCCCGTGAAGCGAGACCGTTTAACTGTGGCCGAGAGACGGATCACCTTCACCACCTCCGAGACCCAGCGACTCATGTGCGAGGGAGAAGTCACTCCCCCCAGAGGGGTGCCTGGACTGCAGTTCATGTGGAAGAGGGACTACACTGGACTGGGAAATATGCCACTGCAAGAGTACATCACAGAAACAAGTGACTTTAATAAGTTTGTACATGTGAGGAATGGAGATCTCTACTTCCTCCAACCTGCGTAAGTCTAGACTTCTGGCTTGTAATTCATATCACCTGTCGCGTGCCTAACATAGAAGAGGCGTTACCCCCCGCCCGGCCCCTCAATTCTGGTTGCCAAGGTTTTCCAAAGGGTCCATTTTTGGCTGGCTAGCATCAAAAGTTTTCTAAAGGCCAATATAACTAAATTTAAATTTAAACTAAATATAACTAGCGCAGTTTTTTGGTCGAACATTTTCTGGAACATTTTCTGGAGGGTCTTTATAATATTTTCGGAGAGCTCGGAAAATCAAATTGGTCGTGACCGAAAAACCACACCCTTTCAGTAATGTATAAATGATAATTTTAACTGGAATAAAAATCTCTTGGAAATAGTTAACTAAGGTTCCCTAACTATAGTTAACTAAAAACAAAACCAAAATGGGTCGGAGAATCAAAAATAGCCAAGAAGTCAACACAGGTTAAACTTTCCGAGTCTCGATCAATAGGAGACCATATTTGACTACCTACGAGATTTGTTTGATGTAGTCAAATTGGCTGGAAACACACCGTACGCCTTAATTCCTTCCAACCCCGCGAAGTGGTCGGAACAATACAATACACTGATTGTGCATTACTGCTTTTTTCATAAGTATAAATTAAAATGATATGTTTTCAAGGTAATTAGTTTTGACTTTTGAAGTTAATGTCATTGTTAAGCTAGCGGTCTTTCCTATTTTGTATTTAAGGTTACGGCTTTTGTTATTTATCCTGTCACCTATGATACCTAGTAAAGAATTGCCACCCCTATAAAGATCTAGCTCAACGATTGGTTATATGTAAATTTTGTACATCCGAACGAATCTCCCACCTACTGCAAAAGAGGGATAGAGAGATCCATCTTTTCTGTCAAATAAATTAAGTGCAATGATTTTGTTGAGATCTTGGTGTTTATAAAGGTTACAATTTTAAGCTATTGAATGAGATTGAAATTTTTTTCTTATAGGCCAGACGACACAGGACTGTACACGTGTATGTATCGCAACATATTTGAACCCATCCAACTGGACGGGGCTTTCGACTGGGTCACCACCAATGCACTGGATGTGACCTTCAGCAGTGGGTATCCCTCGGACAAGGAGCCAAACATAGTGAACAGGGAGTCCAGTATAAAGATCCAGAGGGGCTTCAATCTCACACTCACTTGTGGGTTCAAAGCGGGGTAAGAACTTATTATTTTTTGAAGTATTGTTCGTTGCTCCGGAATGGATTCTTGGTTGTGATTTTGTTTGTGATAAATTGGTACAAGTTGAATCAAGGGAAGCAAGCATCACGGGATCAAAAAAACGTCTCTCAGAAATAGTTTTTTTTGCTAATAGCGATCTTCCAGACCGTTTTTCTATCTCTTAAAGGTTATTAATAAATCAGTTTGATGAATATGAGCCTATACTAGAAACAATTTGTTATTATTGCTATCTACAAATATTTATTTAATTCGTTTGATCGTAATTCTCTTTTTTGTTCTAAAGAGCTACTGGCACTTCCTACAGTCGTAAGTACTCTGTGACGTGGGACCTGCCCTCTCAGAGACCCCGTGATGCCCCTGAGCCCCTCTACCTGAACGGGGGAGTGAATCTGTTCCTGGAGAAAGTGGAGCTGACAGACTCTGGAGAGTACAGGTGCACTGTGTTCGATGATGATAGCCTGCAGAGGAATTTCGATGACTACGGATTCCAAGTCACTGTTTATTGTAAGTCTCATCTCCATTTTTGATTAAGAGTAATGAACGCAGTGAGTACTCTTATATAGATCTTGCTGATTTTTTTTTTAAGGAAAAAGTCTTGAAATTTGTTCATGCTAAGTTTTGATTTTTCGCGGCTTAACTTGTGATTTCTTTTTAAGTTCAGTGTATTTCCATGGTTGAAAGGAAGGCAAACTCCACTATTGAACAGCAAAAGTGTAAAGGTCACGAAAAACGTGATCGACTACTCATTTCGAAAATTGAAATTATTTATCAGATTTCCCAGCGAAATGAAAGTTTTGCCAGCGAAATGATTTCCCAGCGAAATAAAAGTATTGATCCAGTTTTCTCAAATAGGGTTAATTAAATTGAAGCTAAAGCTTTAAAAATCATGGATATTTAAAGCTTCAGCTTTACTTACGAAATCAATGGAAGCGGATAAACCCTCGTGAAACATTTTACCTTAAATTTGCAGTCACGAAAATTCAACAGTGAAAAAATCATACATTCGATAATATTGTACCTTAAATTTGCAGTCACGAAAATTCAACAGTGAAAAAATCGTGCATTCGATAATATTTTACCTTAAATTTGCAGTCACGAAAATTCAACAGTGAAAAAATCATGCATTCGATAATATTCGATAGTTTTAGCTGACATAAAATGATAACATGGAAAACTTCAAGCAATCTAGTAATAACAAAACGAACATAGCCAATTGACAGTTGGAAAAGAGTAATGAACGCAAGGAAACTAAAAAATAAGTTAAAAAAATGAACGTAGTGAAGACTTTTATATAGGTCTTGCTGATTTTTTTCTGTGTTTTTTTTCAGGAAAAGTATTGAAATTTTTTCACTCTCAATTTTGATTTTTCGCGGCTTGACTTGTTTTTTTTTTAAGTTTTAGTGCATTTTTATTGTTAAAAGGAAGGCAAACTCCTTTATTGAACAGCAAAATTGTAAAGGTCACGCAAAACGTGATCGACTTCTGATTTTGAATATGGAAATTAATTATCAGATTTCCCAGCTAAATAAAAGTTTTACCTATTGATCCAGTTTTCTCAAATTAGTTTTTTTTAACAAGAAAGTCTACAAATTCAAAGAGCTGTAAGGCCATCTAATTTTTTATTCGAAATTCAAACTTGAAGATTTTTGAAAAAACAAGTAGTTTTTTTCAGTTTCTTTGCGTTTATTACTCTTTTCCAACTGTCAGTTGGCTATGATTTTTAAGAGCCTTCAACTTTTGAATTTCGAAGAAAAAAATAGATGGCCTTAAAGCTTTTTGAATTTGTAGAACAATTAATGATGGACACTTTTTGTTAAAAATAACTTAATTTAAACAAACAAGTTCATCATAAAATGTTCTACGAATTCAAAGAGCTTTAAGGCCATCTATTTTTTCTTCGAAATTCAAATTTTGAAGGCTCTTGAAAAAAAAAAACAAGTCAGTTTTTTTTATTTTCTTTGCGTTCATTACTCTTTTCCAACTGTCAGTTGGCTATGCTTGTTTTGTAATAACTAGATTGCTTGAAGAAGTTTTCCATGTTATCATTTTATGTAAACTAAAACTATTTTAATGGATTAAATATTATCGAATGCATAAGTTTTTCACTGTTGAATTTTGGTGGCTGCAATTTTAAGGTAAAATGTTTCACGAAGATCCGCTTCCATTAATTTTGTAAGTAAAGCTGAAGCTTTAAATATCCGTGATTTTTTTGAGTATATTGCACGAGTCGCCCGTTTTATTTTTTGACTTGTGACACGTGACGCCTGATATCTATCACGGGAATTCGTGTGCGAGATATTAGGTGCTAAATTTGCTAAAAATTGTAGAGGGGTGAAATGAGCGAAGATTGTATTTTGAGTGTCTAATCAATGTTTGCAGCTGTCCCCTTCCTGCTCACATCTTTGCCCAAAATGATCGCCCTTAGACCCGGCCAGGAGATGACCCTGTCTTGTGAGGCTAATGGGGAGCCAGCCCCAACGTACCACTGGTACATTGATGGAAACAGACAGAGGTCAGTACAGGACAACAGTTATGAGATCACTCTGGCGGAGATAGGCAACAATGGCGTGTACCAGGTGTGTTGATTTCTGCCAATGCTTGAGTTGCTTTTCCCTCTCGTTGTTTTTTGTCGTATTAGTCAAAAATAATAGAGAAATTGCACGAGAATTGTATAAAAAAAGCTTGTAGCAATTATGTTTACACGTCGAAGTCGTTAAGCACTTTAAATATTTATGTATTATTTGCTGATGTTTTTTGTGTTGCAGTGTGAGGCTTCGAATGAGCATGGGTCAGTGGTGAGTACAAGCACAGTGAGAGTGCTGTCGATGGAGCCTCTGTTTGAGTACCAGTTGGAACCCCCAGTGGATGTGAATGTGGAAGCCGGACAGGGGCAGATAGTGCAGATACACTGCAAGCCATTCTCTCTAGCATCACCTGTCTTCCAGTGGACCAGGTTTGTAATTTTCACTTAGATATGATGGTGTAAATGAGTCAAACAATTTAAACTTGCTTTGAACCTCTTAATTGTTCAATTTTGTTCAAATAAAAAAGGAATTACGCTTTGGTCACAATCTCGAAATATACCGTTGCCATGTGTCCTGATTTTGTTATGCTTTCGAAAAACAGGGTGGCAATTAATAAGTTTTTCATACTGGATTAAAAAAACGCTGTTTAATTTTTTGAGGCTAGCCTTTTTTTTGATCTCGCACGAAAAGATTTTTTAACCTCGTAATTGGTTTATTCGCGTAAAGAATATTTGTTCGGTTTTAATGCAAATTGTGTGATTTTTCAAAATGAATGTTAATTAAAATCAAAATATGATGAAGGGTGTGGTTGAAAAGTGAGTTAATTTTTGTTCAGATCCAATCTGGTTGTGAGTAATTCGACAGGACAGTTTCCCAAGTACACAGTGTATCCCAATGGGACTTTACTGATCACCAATGTGCAACAGGACGACGCCGGCAGCTACATCTGCAAAGCCACAGCCGGAGGATCAAGGGATAACACCTACATGTTGAGGGTGCTTCGTAAGTACATCCAGCGGGCCTTTTTCCTTTATCTCATTTTTTCAATTTTGCAATGTGATCGAGGAAATGAAATGAATTTGCGTTTGATTTCTTGAATGGACTTTGTCTAGCTCGAGTCAGTAATGTTGTTCGTTTTGGGCGTAAGAGGTAAAAGACCACATAGAACTGAAGCGTTTTTGAGATTTGCCATGGCCAAAGGAATAAGTTGATAGAAATTTATGATTGCCAATCAGAATTCATTATTCAAAATCCTACGAAAGAGTGACAATATAGTCAGAGTTTTATTTGGCAAATCTCAAATTTTTAACTGGTGGCTCAAATTTTGTTCTCGTGTAACATTGAGATAAGAAATAGTTCTCAAAGTTAAATCCGCTGAACTGCCCTACGCTTGGTTTTGTATAGCTTGTGAAAAGTTGTGCCTTTTGGAAAATGAACTAATTGACCCGTGCGACTAATCATCTTCAGCGTCAATCTTTCGACTCAGGTTTACTTGTTCTTTTTTAATATCTGTTCTCTTTTAGCACCCCTGTCCCTGGAGACTGGATCCAGTGCAATAGATGGCAGCCAGCAGTACACAGTGCTTCTCAACAGGACAGTGGACATGCAGTGTAGACTGAGAAGTCCAAGCGAGACTGACGGAGTGTTCGTGTGGCAACTCAACGAAAGAATACTACAATTGACGCCTCCACATCAAAGGACTCAAGTGGAAAGGTCGGCTAGTTTTCTAATAGAGGCCAGGCCATTCATCTGCTTGAAAAAAGCATACTCTGGTGTTTATTACGCTTGCGATTAGCAAACGTTATCCAATATAGGTTTTTTCCGGGCTAACAATTTGCTTAACACAATCACTTGAACAATTTATGCTGGTCACGATCTGTAGCATTGGAAATTTCATAGCATCTGTTCTCTGCTTTATTTGGGGCTAGTGTTTGTGATCAAGTAAGCGTCCGTGGCTCAGTGGTTAGTGCGTGAGACTCGTAATCTCTGGGTCGCGATTGGTCGGAAATTGAATCCGAGACGTAGCCGAGTTTTGACTAAATTAAAGCTTATTTCTACTTTTTATTATTGCATTTTATAGAACTACTTTTTGGTCGTGTTCTCGCTGGTGTTTGTCAAAAGCTTCACCTCAGTGTGACACGCTCATTTTCTTGAAAATTCAAATTTAATTACTTAAATTAGCAACTACTGGAAATCGCTCTATCAAGAGTCTAAGCATTGTATGTGTAATTGAGAGTCGAGTAACGTAGTTCAGACTCTTAAATAGGTCGTGATGAGTTTTTTTGGGAAAAATTTGAATTTTGTTTAGGCTCAATTTTTCTTTTCGCGGTTTGATTTCGCTTTTAGTTTCTTTTAAGTTCATCTCATTCACGTTCTTAAAAGGCAAACTCCACTATCGAACAGCAAAATTGTAAAGGTCGCGAAAAACGTGATTGACTTCTAATTTCAAAAATGGATTTAAGTATCAGATTTCCCAGCGAAATAAAAATTTTACCTTTTGATTCAGGTTTCTCAAATTGGGTTAATTTTTATCAAATCTTAATTTTAGCCAGTCATAAATTGTTCTAGGTTTTCAAATAGCTTCAAGGCCATCTGTTTTTTTTTCTTAGAAAACAAAAGTCAATGTTTTTTTTTGATGTCAAAACAAAAGTTAATGTTTTTTTGTTTACTTGCGTTTACTGACTCTTTTCCAACTGTCTGTTGGCTATGTTTGAGTTCAATTCAAGTTCATTTGCTAGAAGGCAGGCAAAATACACTCCTATTTTTCTATTTTTCAATTCCTATAAATCGAATTGCATTCGATACCAATTGTGATATCAGTTTTTTACGAGTCGATGAACGTAGTTTGGACTCTTTCATAAGTCCTGATTATTTTTTTCAAGGAAAAGTCTTAAAATGCTCTAGTATCAAAAGAGGTGCATTGATACTTATAAATGCACATGTGAATGCCCTTAGGCTTATATGCCTTTTTCAGCTCAATTCAAGTTCATTTGCTAGAAGGAAGGCAAAACGCTTTCTCGAATTATGAATGCTGAAACGGCGCGAAAAAACGTGTAATCGATTTCTCGTTCCGAATTTACATTTCAGAGTTCTTTTGATAAGACAGATAACACAGGACCCTATTTTAAATTTGGACCCCTCGCGAGTTAAGGACTGCAAATTGAATCTTGCGTCTGCGTTATAATATGACGACCCAAAAGATGAGAATGCTTTTTACAACAAAATTTGAAGGAAAATGTATTTGGATTTGAAACCGGGGCAGCATATGTTAGAACATTCAACGTGCGAACATATAAGTTAAAGACAATCAAATAGAGTCGAAGTGTGTGTGTATGCAATGTTGTTGTAACTCGCACATCGTTGCTCATCTGTCACAGAGTTATTCTATCAGCCTTGTCCTCCTCCTCTTCCCGGTTTGTCCTCTCTGGGTGGTATCCCAGTCAACAGGGGGCAATACACAAGTGGGGTGATGATAGAAGCAGCGAACTCACCCACCAAGTAGAAGCCAAGTTGGGACGTCTGGCCAGATACTAAATTGGATCTATAACTCTTCGCAAAGAAAAATTCTGTCAGCCGGACGGCATCGTAGAAAATTTCAAAACAATGAAAGGCCTTCAATTAAAACTCAGAATTTCGGGTTGTTGTTCCAAAAAGTTTTTCTTTTTTTCCGAAACGTTTTTACTTACGAAACTTAGACCAATTTTTTTTTTAGTTTTGTGTGGATTATGTTTGTTTCGATTGTTTGGTCGAATGGAAATGCGTGCGTTAAATGATTTCCAACTTGACTTTTTGGAGCCAAATTTGGAGGTATGCTCACCGATAGCTGGTCCAGTAATGCGCGCAGGGTTTATGGGACCCCCAGTGATGGGTATGAGACATAAGTTAGTCACGACCACCACCAGACCCACACTGAGTGCTATGTTTCCATTCTGCACTGGTCGGGCCTCGTCAGTGCAGCGAAGAACCTATAAATAATCTGAAATAAGGCTAAAAATAGTTTTGTTGGGACTGTTGTCCTTCTATCTTTCGTATCGTTTGTCAGCAATCCTTATTGATCAAATTTAGTTAATAGAGAGCTATTGTTGAATGTTGGAAATTTACAAAGCTGGAAGCCTAAATTAATATTAAATAATTTTCCGCTCAAAGCGAAAGAAGACTTTTGTAGGGTCATTGAACAGAAAAAACTATACCTGCATGATGAGCATGCCCGTGAACAGAAACTCGTAGGCCATCCCTTGCCACTCATAGCCAACTTCCATCTTGGGAACACAGCTGTCAAACTCCACACCACCATCCACAGTAGTATCATTAAAAGAGGAACCACTCGTCATCAGGAGTACCAGTCCGGATCCAGTTACAGATCCCCCGATTTGAGCCAGTATGTAGAATGCACATCTGAAGAGTGAGATCTGTCCGTTGGCTAGGAGTGCAACAGATACAGCTGCGGCCGGATACTTTCTGATTATGGTGTTCATTGCCAAAGACTTATTTTGAAAAGAGTGGCGATATTAGCACGGAGTGCAAGAAATATTTGAAAAACTAGAAGTTAAAACGAGTGATAGATAGTGGGCAAAAGAAATGTCCGTTTCATCTGGAATACACATAATGTAAGGATCAAATCTAATCACTTAGTTTTTCAAATGACAAATTGTCTTATCAATTAAGTTTTTTGCGATTAGGAGTAATGAACGTAGTGAAGACTCTGATATAGGTCTTGCTGATTTTTTGTTCAGGAAAAAATCTTTAAGTATTGATGCACTTAGGTATAATGGACTTTTTGAGTTCAATTGAAATTCATCTGCTGAAAATGACGTAAATTGCACTCTCCCAATACGCACGTGGAAATGGCGAGAAAAAACGTGAATGATTTCTAGTTTCGAAAGTGGAATTTGTTTTTAAGAATTCCCAGTGGAATAAAAAACTTTACCTATTGATCCAGTTTTCTCTAGCTGGGTTCATGTTATCAAACAAGCGCCAATCATAAATTGTTATAGAAATTCAAAGAGATTAAAGGGCATCTATTTTTTTCTTTGAAATTCGAAAGATGAGATTTGTTCAAGAAAGTCAGTGTTGTTTTTATGTTTACTTGCGTTCATTATTTTTTTCAATCTTCGATTGGCTATGTTTTACGCTGAAATGAGATATCAGTGCCCACCGGTATCAAATTTAATGCTGATGCACAAATGGGGCTTATGATGTGAATTTTTAAGACCGCTTAAAAAACGTAACTAGCTGGCAGAAAATATCCCTGGATTGATGTTCGCTCCTGAAACACTGTCAATCATATGGACCAACACAGCAATACACAGTCCAGTTCCGAGAGATCCAGCTACCAAGTCATTTGGACTCCATACTCCGATTAGACAAGAGAGGAGAAAGAAGAATGTTCCGATGAACTCCCCGAATACTCCGCGCCAAAATGGGAGAGTCCGCAGGTCGGACATGCCGAGCGAATAGTTGCGACCGAGAATCCGCATAGTGCTTGTTGTTGTATTAACACCTGCTGGTTAAATACTTGAGTAGAATGAACTTCAAGTTACAATTTTTAGTTTTAAAGAATCCAACGACTTAATGAATTTTTCGTTGGGTCCAATATTTTTTTCGTTTTCGTACTGTGGTAAGTCGACAAAAAGAAAATGTGCTATCATGCAAATTCAGTAACTTCCGTCAGGTTGTTTTTCCTTTTTCTAAACAATATTATTAATTGAAAAAAATAATGAATGACAGGTTTCGGTTGTCTGAAATTATGCGGTGAAGTTCTCCTTTCTTCCGAAGAAGACTTCGCCTTATTATTCAACTGCGATGTCAAAAATTAATTTTAATTAAAGTACTTTTTTAATTGACGGTTTTTTTGAACGACTACGCCTTTTATCTATGGTTTATTATTCGTGAAAAAATGCGGCGTTGTCGATCGTGTCTGCTAATTCAATGGGAATGGTTTTTGCGAAAAAATGTGATAGTTTTGTATTGTTTTCGTTTTTTTTTTTTCGGTAACCAGCGTCGCGTTATGTTCGAAATTAATATATTGTTTTCCAGTTTCATTCATTTTGTTTCCAAGTTTTTTTTTGCTCATTAAAAACATCATTTTCCTTGTCACCTTTGACATTTGTAAATATTGGACATTTTTTGTCGCATTTTGGGGTTTAGCAGTTACGTTCAACTGTTTTTACAAGATGCAACAAAAATAAATAAGATGTAATTCTTACCGGTCAGAACAAGGAAACTCGCTGTAGAAGTTTTTTTTGGGTTTTTTGTTAAATTTTGTGTTCAAAGATGATTACCTGCAGCGTCCGGTGTGATGTTCCATTTGCTCGGTTGCAATGATTAAAGAGTTCTTAGAGTGTAACAGCCCATTATTTATGGGCTGATAGTTGTGAAATTAGATAAGTAGTTTTGAAATAAGATGGAATCCATTGATCTGAGTGGGAATTAGTTTTGAAGAATTTGTACGAGGGTTTGATGAAAGCTGGCTGTTGAACAAGGCTTTGAGTGGTTTGTATTTAGTGGTTAGTTAATCATGAAATATGACTTGATTATTGTGGTGTATTTTACTTGCTAAAAGGAGGGTCCTGTGTTTTGATGTAATCTTGCGTTTACTATGGATATTATATTATGCTTATGCCAAAATATCCTAAAAATGATAGGTGTTTTAGTTGATGTCATAGAATCGATTTGTTAGATCAGCTCTTTTGAAAATTCGACCACTGCATCCGAGCTAATGGCTAAATACTAAATAATCAAACTTTTTATACAAATTTCAAAAAACTATATATTGATCAGTGTGATTTATCAATTTATCAGTCAAAGCTAACCTGATAGCTGGTAACTTTGTCTTTCGAAGCTTCTTCAAGTCAAAATCTGCTTTGGTTTGGTGAAGCAGAAACGTTGTTATATATACATAAGAACAATTTCTAAATTTTAAATTTTGTCTCAGAAACCAGTTGAGTTGACATTTGGCCTATTAGTTTTTACTTTTTCTGATCAATCGTCGTCATTGAAAAGTGGATTGTAATTTTAGGCTCCCTGACGAACTAAATGACTGCTCAATTTATTATCTGTGTTTCTTGATGGTCTAAATGAAGTTAAATGAAGCGGCGAGTCCTATTGAAAACTATCACTTAGGCTTTTAAATTAAGTATGGTATCTATTACATTCTATTCATGGTATTAAATCCATCGCGTTTTTGACTATCCATAAAGGAAACTAAAAAATCAGAACCAGTTTTCGTCATCCCTGATACGGCGTGGATTTTGAACTACAAAAAATGAACAGTCACCAAAACATGAAATATTAGGCCGGAATAATTTGTGAAAGGAGTCTACCTCAAACCCAAGCTAAATAGGACTCCTCAGTTTCTTGAGCTACATTAAGCTATGCCTTTGTCGAAATGCTTTGGCGGGGGGAAATTTCGTCTTTACGCTTTTCTCGCTAAAATCAATGTCGAGGAAAGTCTGTTGAAAATTAAGATTCTTGATAGTTTTTATTTGTATTTTATTCTAAGGCGCTGACAGATACTTTTACACTTGCGAGCAGAGTAGTGTGTTAGTACGAACCTTTTTTTCTGACCGTACTCGCAAATAAAAGTGTTCACTTATTTTGTGGCACTTTTGCTATAATCACGATCTGTAGCATTGGAAATTTCATAGCATATGTTCTTAGCTTTATTTGTGGCTTTATTAAACGTCCGTGGCTGAGTGGTTAGTGCGTGAGACTCATAATCTCTAGGTTGGAGTCGGTCAGAGATCGATCCCGGGACGTAGCCGAATTTTAACTAATTCGAGGCTTATTTCTACTTTTTCTTATCACACATTATATAGCTGCTTTTTGTCGTGTTCTGGCTAGTGTTTACGAAGCGACGCTTAACCTCTGTGTAATTAATGCAATTAGATAATAGTGTACAAGAATGAGGTCATTTTAGGTAAAATATCATTAAAATTGCAGTAGAATTTATTCTATTCTGTGTATATTAGTCTGAAAAAACGGAAAAATTCAGGTTATTTCGACACATTTTGATTTTTGGAATCCGAATTACCACTAATAAGAGTTTTATTCAAAACCACAAATGACATTCTACGACTTTTCCTTGAGATAGCTAAAACTGGGTGGAAAAAACCAACCCTACGCTATAGTTCCTTCCCATCTTAGTATGGTCGGAACAGAATTTCATTGAATATATTCGAAAGCACCTGTTTATCAGATCATGTTTTGTTTCAATTTAATCACAATATCATTTGATAAAAAACTAAATCAGCTTAAATTAAATCTATCATCAAATCTAAAATTAAATAAATTTAATCTAAAATTAAATCAGATGTTCGTTGATCTATATTTTTTCAATAGTTATGAGCTAACGAGCTTAGGTAGTTGTGTTTTTAAGAAAGTATTGATTGGCCTCTGGAAACTTTCGACTTCGATGCTTTTGTGAAATCTGAATGTCTACTGATATCAAACTTATCAATATTTCTCTAATGTGAATTGATAAAAGGGAAAATTGAGTTTTACCAAATATTAATCGTAAAAATAACTTGAGCTTTGTCATGTTGAGTGTTAAAAAAGGTGGATTGGTACTCATTTGGGTCGTGTGGTTTTTGTTTGTTTCGGGAAGAAGCCTCAAAAAAATTTCGGGAAGAAGCCAGCTTAAATCGAATGCAGATTACTTTCTCCTATAACAAAAGATTAAATCGCAGATAAGTTCTGTTTCTTGGCGTTTAGTTTTGATTTTCAGATTTTCCAGCAAGTAGATTTAGGAAATTTTAGTAATTTTTTGAAGCTGGAAAGTAAACTTAATAAAAGTTTTTTTTTGGTTTCCTTGTTCATTAACTTTTTTCCAACTATTGATTGTGTGTCATCTTTTTTCAATCGGAAAGCGCGTATTAAACTTGGTAGACAGTTGCCAAAGTGATTATGAACTCGGTTGACAGGTTAAAGTTGATGAAAACTGGATCGATGTCTTATCAGAAAATTGAAAGCTTTAATTGGAAACTCCTGTAAACTCCGATAAACTCTTGGAGGACTTAATTATTCTTTTATCAACTGTCTTTTGGCCCTGTTTTGTTTTCAGGTTGTCACATCGTGAGCAGCTTTTTCAAGGGATTGTGTTATAACAAATGAAAATTAGAGCTGTGACATTTCTTTTTCACGCTAACTCACTGTTGTTCTTTACACAAGCAATGCTTGTGTTATAACATGAATTATTTTTTTTCAATCTAAGTCGCAAATATTGTTGCGTCGCAAATATTGTTGCAATAAAATATGTTCATTTTGAAAGTTTTCGTTTTGATCAATAACCAGCTATTAAGTACAGCCAATGCTTAGCTTTTTAACAACCACTATTATTGTTCCGACTTTCTAACGAAAGTAACTGAGTATTTGTGCTCGGGGTGGTTTTTTGTCAGTCAAGTTTCGACTTTTTAACTAGCCTTTTATTTGTCATAAATGATTTGTTACTAGGAGCGAAATTTATCTCTTTGTACTTAATATGGCGTGTGGGGGGATGATTTTCATAAAAAAATTCAAATTAAAAAAAATTCATTTCATTTTAATTACATTTAGTTTTTTCGTGCTATTATTGCTCCATAGACTGCTCTTTAAATTGAGGCTTCTTACTTAGTAAATTTCTTTTTTCTTTCAAATTGGCTGGTAGTGTTAATGCGTTATAATTGGCGTGCTTCACTTGAGAAATTTTGTAGACTCTAAGTTTTACTCATTCAGTTTTTCCCAGTAGCGTTATCGGTCATATTTTTGCTTGTGTATGCGAAGTACAACTTCACCTCTGTGTGTTATCCTAAAAATACATAAGGCACGATGGAACGTGGTATCATGAACAAACGTACCACAATAAGGCATTAAAATCCAATTATTACACTTGCGATAGAAAGTGTACTGCAATCGGGTGCGAGAATTTTTTTCCACGTGGACAACTTGGCTCATCACCTGAGGCTCATCAAATCCTTAGGACTCATCTCTTCGAGAGGCCTGTACGGCAGTCGATTTAAGTACTTGGGTGTCCGAGTTTAAAAGTTCTAATCCCTTTTTTGTTACAATTTTTTGACCATTATTAAGCCACTACTTACGGTTTTTTTCTTTGTGTTTGCGAAGTCCATTTTCGCCTTTGTGTCGAAGATTGTTTTTTATTTTGGTTGTATAACCACCAACTCCATATGGATAAAAGTTCTTTTTTATTCAAAGGTTTATTCACTGTAAAATGTTTGGGATAATGCTATATCGGCTGAGTTGCCTCATATTGCGTCAAATTTTCAAGGCTTATTTTACTTCTGAGTTCTTTGCTTCTGTTTTCTCGTTCTGTTTGGGAAGTGCTGATTCGCCGCTGTGTCTATATTTTGTCAAAATACTCGATTAAAGCTAGCAAATGTCCTCCTCGACATACTTCCTCTAAATTGAGTTTCATTCTAGACCAATCGTGATATGAATTTTTTCAAAAATGAGCATATTTCGATGAACGTAGTTCAGACCCTTATATAAGTAGTGATTTTTTTTCCAGGAAAAGTCTTAAATGCTTTAAATTGAGTTTCATTTATGACCAGTCGTGATATAGTTTTTTAAGAGTCGATGAACGTATTTCAGACTCTTATATTGCTCGTGTTTTTAATTTTTTGTTCTAGGAAAAGTCTTATATTGCGCTAATTACAAAAGAAGTGCATTCATACTTATAAATGCACATATGAATGCTCTTAGATTTATATACAATGTTTGAGTTCAATTAAAATTCACTTGCTAGAGGGAGGCAAAATGCAATCTCTAATTTTGCTGAAATGGCGCAGAAAAAACGGGATAGATTTCTAGTTTCGAAAGTGGACTTTAGTTTGAATTTCCCAGCGGACTAAAAACTTGCCAATGATCAAGTTTTCTCAAATTGGTTTAATTTTTTATCAAGAAAGAGCCAATTATAAACTGCTTTTGAAATTTAAAGAGCTTTGAGGACATCTATATTTTTTTTTTTCAAATTCGTAAGTAGATGTTTTTTTTTAAAACAAGTCAGTTTTTTTTTTGGTTTTTTTTTCGCGTTCGTTGGCTCGTAGCCAACTATCTGTTGGCTATGATTTTACTTTGACTTCCGGTTTTTTTTCGGCTAGCTTGCCTTGCCATGTTTTTTATGTATCGCATGTGGTACAAAGCTCCGCTTTGCCATTGTGTGCTGTGCAATGATCATACAAGAGAATTATTTTATGAGGAGCTGACCAAAAGTATTCTGATTATATTGAAATTTTCAATGCTTGCTGTATCATAGCATTTTTTCTTGAAAAGAAAGGGTACTGGATCGCTATTGTAATGAAGAAAGCTAGTGTAATGAAAGTTTGAATGTCGGAAAGGCCAATGAAAAATGTTGCTAGATCATCGATGTGGCAGTTGCAAAGATTTGCTGTTATATTTCAGGTATCTCTCCAAATTGGACGATATCTTTGGCTCTCGCGATCTGCAGTACAAGCTGAAGCATGGCTTTGACCTTGACCTGAATAACCCCCCTCCCTACTTCTACCCGGAGAACATAGGAAACCCGTACTACCCCCAGAACGGGTGGGAAGCAACTTCTAAGCAGCCTCTGACCGGCGGAGGAGCTTTTCCGAATAATGCAATCTACAACCAGCAGTTCATGTTGAATGACGTATGTTGTGGTCTTGTTGTTTTTTGTTGAGAAGAAATAGCACTCTCCAAAAACGAATGTGGAATTGGCGCTAAAAAAACGTAAACGATTTCTAGTTTCGAAAGTGGAATTTAATTTTTAGATTTCCCAGCGGAATAAAAAACTTTACCTATTGATCCAGTTTTCTCTAGTTGGGTTCAAGTTATCAAGAAACCGCCAATCATAAATTTTTCTAGAAATTCAAAGAGCCTAAAGGGCATCTATTTTTTTTGAAATTCGAAAAATGAGATTTTTTCAAGAAAGGCTTTATTTATATTTACTTGTTTTTCTAATGTTTATTTGCGTTCATTACTCTTTTCCAATCTTCGATTGGCTATGTTCAGAAGTTAACCAATGTTTGGATTGTAAAATTTGCGGTGTTAACCTTTTAGCCAGCGGTATTACCGTGTACAGATATCATTTTTAAAGCATAAGCGTTTGCGAGAAGATATCACCGTTCTTTCATGCAGATATCAGCGATCTTGTGTGAACCAGAAAAGTCAGCGAGGCATTGAATTAGACAGAATTTTAGGTATTTCCAGCGGGAAGAAAGTTATTTTCGGTGTGTTGAGTTTTTTTAAAAATCACAATCAGATACCACAAATAAGGGTCAGATGAGGCCGAGTAAAGTATGTTGATTCGTGTTGTTTCGATCAATTTTGAGAGTTTTCTTAAATGTTTTCTTTAAGACAACGAGGGAAATTCTATGCACTGCTGCGTGAACTTGTTGCGCAAATTTTAATAATTTTTATGCTAGTTTGCGCATTAAAAGAAGTTCTTAACGATCTCGTGAAACTTAAGTTAACTCTCTCCTTCTCCTCTCTTCTCCAAAAAGCGACATTGAAAATTACTCGTAGCCGGATTTTTACTAATGCGAGTCTTTGTTATAGTTTTTCTTATTGTACTTTATAAGGCTGCTTTTTGTCGTGATCCCGCTATTGTTTGCCAAGCGAAGCTTCGCCTCTGTGTGGAAACTTATTTATGCTCGGAACTATGTGCTATTTTTTAGCAGCAACCCGCTACTCGAGGAGATCTGATGTTTCCAGGTTGCCAAATAGTTCCGATCGAGCCGTGTTTGTGTTTTTATCCGCTCGTGCATTTATTTTTACCATAATGTTTGAATATAAGCAAGGACTTGAAGCGTAGATTTGCTTGCTAAATAAAAGCAAAATAAATGGTTGAGCGTGATAAAAAACATGCTGAATCACAGTTAAAAACTATTCAAAACTGATTCAGTGTGAATCATGTGTTAAAAATAGTTTTTGGACACTTGGTTTATCCTGTAACCAATCGATATATCTATGGTGAAGGTATTTGAGTGGAAGATAAGTTTAGTTTTTTCAGGTCACTTTGATGCTAGGAATCAAACGGTTTTGATGATATAAATTTCGAAGGAACTTTAAAGCTTAATTGCAGAACATATTAGTGCATTCAGCGTTTGGGTAATTTTGGCCCGCATAACAGAAAAAACCCAAAAATAGCCCTTTTTGAATTATTTATGAGATGTTCGGTTTCACTTTTTCTAATCCTAAGTGTGACCATGGGCTATTACATCGAAATTTTTTAAATTTATTTCCAATTAGTTGTTGTTTTTTATCAAATAAATGGTAGATATTTCCTTAAATTAGGAGGCGTTTTGCAAAAATAAGCTTTAGTTGTGCTTTTGTTTTTATTGCATAGATATGACAGTGAATGTGGTTCTAGGTGTTGCGGAAGGCGGAGCAGAACGACCCTTTCAATCCGTACACAACGAGTGAGCTGTACCAGAGAGAGTTGAGAGAGAGACACTTTGTGACTCTGAGGTACTACGAGACAGACATCCCCTGGCACGTGGACAACGATCCACCCATAGACCCACTCAGTGCACACTACATCAGGGTCAGTAGAGAGAGTGCAAGTGATATTTAAAGGATAAACCCTATAGCAGCAGCCGGCTCTCTCAGAGCAAAATGTTTCTATAGAATTTGTTTCTGAAGTTTAGACCATGCAGTTGCGTAGTTTTTGACAGGCTCTCCCCTGAATATGGTTAAGTAAAGACGAATTTTGATTTCGTTTTGACCAAAAATGGATGGTGCTCAATAGTACCAAAAAAGAATTTTTTTAAAATCAGCTTCTTTTATTGAGAGGGGTAGCTAATATTTAAAACTCGCTCGAGATTGATGTAAGTGCCCACTTTGAGTTTTCCACAATTTAAGCGTTATTGTTCATTACACAAGCATGCTTGTGTTATAGTATGAACTATCTTTTTTTTTCAACCCAACTCGCAAATATTGTTGCGACGCAAATATTGTTGCGATAGAATGTGTTCATTTTAAAAGTGTTCATTTGATCAATAACCAGCTTTTAAGTACAGCAAATGCTAAGGATTTTAACACAGACTGTTATTGTTCCGACTTTCCTAACGAAAGTAACGGAATATTTGTGCTCGTGTTGGTTTTTTTTTTCAGACAAATTTAGACTTTTTAAATAGCCATTTTGACGGGATTTTTTTTTATATCATTCAAAAAGTATTGTTGTCCTGAGCTTAAATTTGAAAAGATATTTCACCTGTGATCATTTTTCGTAAAGTTTAAACACTGGGGTTGAAAGATAGCCATTATTGTACTTTCGAGCGAGTTTTAAATCTTAGCTACCCCTCTCAATAAAAGAAGCTGATTTTAATTTAGAGATTTAATCCGTCATTGAAATCGTTCTAAATTAGTTGAAGGAAGCTTATTTGCCATAATTGATTTGTTGTTGCATATAAAAAACAGTCCCATACAAAGCAGTCCAATTCAAAATAGTCCATAAAATCATGAAATGAAGAAAAAAACAGTCCAATACAAAACAGTCCGGTTTAAGGTCGCTGGTGGGCGCGCTGCGCAGGCGTCGCGGCTTTGCGGCTATAACTGGCTTTAAATTTCGTATTAAGTCCTACCCTCTGTTGGCAAGCTAGCAACACGTTGGCGCGACTGAGGCGGTTACTGTTTTGTTCCTTATGTTTGTTGAACAAAGGACTATTCTCGGCCTGTCGGTTTGTCTAAACAAGTATTACTTGGGACTGTTTTTCGGACTGTTTTGTATCGGACTGTTTTTTCGTTTTTTTTTCATACTTCTCCGGATTGTTTTGTATTGGACCGTTTTGTATGGGATTGTTTTGTAGAGACACGGATTTGTTACAAGGAGCGAAATATCTTGTTTTGTACTAAATATGGTGCGTCGGGTGGTGTTTTTCACAAAAAATCTCAAATTAAAAATAAATTGATTTTTTTTGTCATATTTAATTTTTTCTTGTTATTACTGCTCCATAGACTGCTCTATAAATTGAAGCATATTAGTTGGTGAATTTCTTTTTTTTTCATATTGACTGGTACTGCTAATGCGTCATAATTGGCGTGCGTCACTTGCGAAGTTTTGTAGACTGAAAGTTTTACTCATTCAGTTTTTCCCAGTTGCGTTATCGGTCATAATTTTGCTTGTGTATGCGAAGTGCAACTTTGCCTCTGTGTAAGAATTTTCGCTTTTTTTGTTCGTTTTTTTTTCTGGGATTTGTGAAATCATTGTGGTCGGAATATTCCGTGCTGCTTGTACAGCAACCGGCTATCGTTGTTGTTAAATATTTGGTGTTTGTGCAGCTGCAGAATGACAGCAGTGGGGTGGGGGATGTGCAAGTGTACAGGGCACAGAAGTGGCAGCAGGGGGACTACAAGTGCTGCTACCTCACCCCAGTCTCATCCACATGCACCTCACTCAGCCTCAAAGTACTTGGTCAGTATTGCCATCTTCATAATCGTGTCATTGATTACTGCGCAGGATTCTTCAATTCATGTCAATGTATATAAGTTAAAATCAATATCAGTTTTTTACAGTGAGAGAAACACTGAATTAATAAAATGGTCAGTAAGTAGAACACATTTTATCTAGTTGACAATGATCAATAAAAAGTTTTTAAATTGTTTTGGCAGACCCAGTATAATGAGCTGATAATAGCAAATTCAAACTTTGCAATTTTTTGAGGTTAGTTGATCTCAAGATGGTAACAATTACGGTTAAATACACTTGAGAAGCGAGTGTATTAGTACGAACCATCTTTTTTTCCAACCTAAGTCGCAAATATTGGTGCCGTTTTTGGGGCACCTTTACAGCTTTTTTCATAGCATGTGCTTTGACATTCGAAGAGTTATAAGTTAACACAGTTGGTGCTTTTTTAACTCATCAAATGAACCGAGAAAAGTAATTTGTTTCAAACAACATGAAAACTCGATTTCAGCAATTATCTAACTCAATATATTCCGCATTTTTTGAAATGAATAAATTATACATAATGTGGCTTTATGCTTTGCGGTTTGTTACATGCAAAGTTAGTGTGGATGCTTTCAGTTTGTTATATTCCAAATTATTAATTGAGTATATTTGTATTTGGTGCAACTTTTGATGAATCCCATTGGCAATTTATTAGCATATGTAGCTGCTTTATTCGCGACTGGTGTTTGTCGGTTGTTAAGCTTGCAAGGCTAAGTGGATATTTTCGTGACCAAAAATCTCTTGATTGCAGTAGGTCGCAGATTCGAATCCTACACGTAGCTGAGTTTTTGCTAATTCGAAGCTCATTTCTACTTTTTCTTACACTTGATAGAGTTGCTTTTTGGTCGTGTTCTCGCAAGTGTTTGCGAAGCGCAGCTTCACCTCTGTATTAATTAATTAGTTTTTGTAGCCTTGATCTGTGAACCTTTCCAGGTGTTATCGAATACTGGCTGCTCTTAAGAGTTACCCAACAAGTCTCAGTAATGTTTGTTCTTTTGTTTTTTTTATGAGAGGTTAAGATGTTTTGTCAAGTTTTTCAGGCAAAAAATAAAACCAGTTGCACGCATTATTAAGGAATTGTTAGTTTTTGTACTTGCTTGTCATTGTTAAATTGATATATCAATGAGTCGATTGACCATTAGACAATACTCAAGTCTAACAACACTCACATGATAGTTGATCTGTCACTGTTTGCTGATTTTTCAAATTATCTTTTGATGATTCGGGATTCAGAGATCGGAATGCATTTCTGGAAGATCTGTCATTTGATTTATTCATTTTAACTTCAATGGAGTAGTTTGAAGTAAAAAAAAAAATGATCAAATTTTCAAAAAGCTGAAAAAATTACAGACAGTTTTCTTTTGAAAATCATCGTTTCAAACGCTATGTAAAATACAAATTGATATGTTTTCATAGAGCAATAAACTAAATAGACCAAAGAGCAAGCCTCAATTCAATTTGGAGTGATTTTTATGACGGATTAAATCTCCGCTTACGCATTTATTGAATGAAATACATCGCGCGTTAATTTTCCCAAATTGGCTATCTTTAAACCCGCATAATTTGACGAAAAAATTATCACAGGTGCAATATCTTTTTGAGTTTTAGCTTAGGACAACAATACCTTTCGCAGAATTTTTAATAAATTCCGTCAAATATCGTTAGTTAAAAAGTCGAAATTTGTCTTGAGAAAAAAACCACCCCGAGCACATATATTCCTTCATTTTCTTAGATGCTAGTCGGAACGATAATTTAATCCACTTATGGTTTTGAATTCAAAAAAACAAATTGAAACGAGCATTTAGCTTTATATAAACAGAATAGTAATTTCATTTTTGATTCTGAAATTTTCTGTATCATTATGTTTTGCGAGTTATGAAATGAAATTTTATACACAATTTACTTTTCAAGTTTTTACATACGAGATAAGTGTTATTGGCAAATTACCGCACATAAAGCCTAGAATTCGAAATTGCAGAATCCTGCAGAAATTCCGCATATGTGAAGCATTTTGAGCAAACTAAAGAGTATTTGTGAGAAAAGTTATGTGAAAGTTTTTTGAGATTTTATCTGCAATTTTTTATTTCAAATTTAAATTTTGACGCTTGAAAATCGCAAGTACCCAAAAACTCTTTCGAAATTTAGTAGAAAAAAATCCGCATCGCATAATTTTTTTAAGTTCTGCGCGCAGGTTTTTGCCAAGCCTGGTGTTTGCCTATCCGGGACCTGTTATGGTAGCTTATTCAAGGGACCAGTCTATCATAAAAGCACCGAACTTATAATTTGGAATTGGTACAAGAATGTAAGTTTTAATTGGATTGAGTTTAGCGGTGAAAGTACTTATATGATGGTTTGGTCCCAAAAAAAGCTAGTATGATAGACAAGTCCAGCATGTGTTTCGCATTAAAAACTTGTAAACGAATTTTTTATGAATTTTTAAGAGTAATGAACGTTGTGAACTCTTATATAGGGCTTGCTGATTTTTTTTGTTTTTTTTTCAGGAAAAGTCTTGAAGTCCCTATTAACTACAGATGTGCATGCATACATATTGATGCATTTATGAATGCACTTAGGTTTAAATGCACTTTTTGAGTTCAAATGAAATTCATCTGCTGAAAATGACGTAAATAGCACTCTACAAACTCGAACGTGAAAATTGCGCGAAAAGTGAATAATTTCTAGTTCCACTAGAAAGTGGAATTTAATCTTTGATTTCCAGCGGAATAAAAACTTTACCTATTGATCTAGTTTTCTCTAGTTGGTTTCATGTTATCAAAAAAGCGCCAATCATAAATTGTTCTAGAAATTTAAAGAGCTTATATGGCATCTATTTTTTCCTTTGAAATTCGAAAGTTGAGATTTTTTCAAGAAAGTCAGTGTTTTTTTAATATTTACTTGCGTTCATTACTCTTTTCCAATATTCGATAGGCTATGTTATTTTATTTTGAAACTATGCAATCCACTGCAGCAAAAATTTCTACCATGCATTGTTGCGGAACCTAGTACATACACAAACAGGTAATATTTGGCCTCGTACCAAAACATTGATTGAATGACAAAGAAACGGGTGGCGTCCTTCGTGATTGAGGGACCCAATGCTGGATCTTTGTGTTAAGTTTTTTTCAGCCAATCAGAATTGAATTTTCGAAAGTCTCAAGGAAACCACAAAAAGCTCAAAGTCGGCAAATACATTAAGGCAATTTAACTGAATACTGACTGATTTAAAAATTGGAGTTTTCAGGGTTTTCACGCATTGCCGATTCAAAGAAACATTGAAAACAGAGCAGTAAATTTACCGATTTGGGCAAACTGTGCTGGTTTTTTTTATTTTCTGCTAATTGTTACTTCGGTTCATTACAAAAACCATTCAGCGAATAGGAACTGATTCTGATTGTTTCAAATTTTCTATCATTTAGTCCCTCCATCATGAGGATAGCTCCCAAGGAGACGGGTCTGATCCAGACAGTCAATTTAGTAGGCCCTGAGAGACAATAAAGCAAAAAAAATCAGAAGCAAGGCACTCAATCAGAAGAAAACTATTGCCCAAAAAATCTTTGTATTAAAGCACTTAGAATTATTTTCGATTGATTTGAGGGCAAGCAACTTGTGAAAAAATTATACTTTTAACTCCAAAACTGTTCAATTTTTGGCCAAAATGCCCTCATTTTGTTTGCATAGATTGTTAAAAAGCTCACTGTCAGGGGCTATTCTTATGATGGAGTGACCCAATGGAATGAAAGCTTCCAACCAAAAAGAGTCGGTAACGTTCCTATTGACTAAATGAACTTTGCACACTACCGAAGTCGTTATTAACAGAAAAAGATTTAGAGCGCTACAGCCAAGTTTCGTTGTAAATTTCGGGCAGATATACAAAATGTTTTTTGTTTTAGTTTTTAAGAGTAATGAACGTAGTGAGTACTCTTATATAGGTCTTGTTGTTTTTCTTGTTCTTTTATTCAGGAAAACGACGGTCAGCTTTGATTTTTCGCCGTTTGACCTGTGATTTTTTTAAAATGTAGTGCATATCTATTGTTAGTGGTAGGCAAACTACCTTATCGAACAGCAAAATTTTAAAAGTCACGAAAAACTTGATTGACTTCTAATTTCGAAAATGAAATATAATTATCAGATTTTTCAACGAAATAAAAGTTTTACTTATTGATCCAGTTTTCCCAAATTGGGTTAGTTTTTAACAAAAAAACTGTCCATCATAAATTGTTTTACAAATTCAAAGAGCTTTCAGGCCGTCCATGTTTCTTCGAAATTCAAAAGTTGAAGATTTTTGAAAACAAATCATTTTTTTTTAAGTTTCCTTGCGTTGATTACTCTTTTCCGACTGTCAGTTGGCAGGTTCATTTCATAAATCTCGCGAGATATGTTGAATTAGAAACTTCAACTATAGTTGGGTTAACTTGTTTATAACCAAAGCTCAATTTTTTGAGTTCTGCTACCCTAAATTGGTGAGGGGGAATGTTTTACTGACTAGTAAAACGTAAAATTTGTTAGAAAATATACAGCGACATCTTTTTGAATGGCAAAATTATAGTTCTTAAACGATTTGAGAGCTCTAGGTGTCTTCTTTTTAAGGGACCTGGTTATTGCAAGTGACGACTCTATCATAATAGTATCGCGGTGAATTCTAATTTAACTTTTTAGGAACATCCATAATAGGCTTCTCTTTTTCCAAGCCAATGGGTCTTTTCGGTTAAACCTTCCTCAATGAATATTTTTTCAGCAAAATTGGACTGATTTTACTTGAAAAGGCAGGGCTGATATCCCGAGCGTTAAGTCAAGCTAGAAAAGAAAAAGTGCGAATTAAACGACAATTAAAAGTACATTTGGCACCTTTTTTTAAATGAAATTAATATGCAAAAAACGGCGAAAAATGGAGAAAAAGTCAGTTTGATGCTAATAAAGGTTAAAATGCATCGTTCTTACCTGTTTTGGGTCTTATGCACTTAACGGACCAAGATGAGTATTTATACATCTTGATTTTAAGTCAATGAGGTTCAATCTGATTGGTTAATTAGTCAAATGCAAAGATGGTCCGGCATTTCAATTAAAAATGAAAGCGGATAAAAATATTGGCCGATTTGACCAGATTGATAGAATTTTTTTCGCGTTGAAATCATTTTACTGAATTTTTTGCTTGGATATATTTTCACAAAAAAAACATGAAATTAATTTTATTATTTGACTAAGATCCACATTTTCATTAAATTTGGCTAATTTTTTTTTTGTGCTGGAACAGTTCATTGACATATGACATGCCTGGCCATGCTGCTTGAATTTGATAGGTTAATATTAGCCAATCGAATTCGCATTATTTTTTAGCTAAAAGATGTAAACATTTTGATTTTGGGCGGTTTTGTGTTGTGCTGCGTATTCATAGGTCCCAAAATGAAAAGTTGGGGGGTATTCACAAGTACCAAAATGATAAATCAGTGCCATTTGTACCAAAATAAAAAATCAATCGCGTTAGTAACAAAAATATTCAATTGGCCAAAGACTACTAAGCCGACTATTTTAAGCTCTTGGTTTAAGGTCGCCGGTGGGTGCGCCAAGCGCGCGTCGCCGCTTCCCGGCGATAACCGGCTCTAATTTTTGTATAGAGTCGTACCCTCTGTTGGCAAGCTCGCAACACGTTGGCGCGACTGCGGCGATCACTATTCTGCTGCTTAGTTTTCTTCTGTTTGAACAGTAGAAAATTAATGTAATAATTCGTTGGCTCATAAATCGACCAATCAGAAAACGAATTGAATAATTTTGGTACAAATGGGTTCGATTTTTCATTTTGGTACAAATGAACGTTGGTGTAAATGGGACTCACCATTACGACCTATGGGAAGTCACCGTTTTGTGCGTAAGACCCCCTGTTATTTAAAAATATCCTGCATTTCCTTATAACTGTGGGTGCGTATTCACGGAGCCGCATTCACGGATAGCCGAAAAAAACTAAATACCTCCGGTTGTAACTAAACTAAATGAAAAAAATCATCACTAAATTGAGACTCATTTTGTTTGGACAGCCTGATAGCCTACAATTTTCCAACAAATTTTAAGAGATTTGATTGGCTGATACGTATACTCTAAATGAATTAACGAACAGCAAAAGTCCGGCTAATTTCGCCCTAACAACAAAAGTCCGGATTTAGTTAACAAATGCCCCCATGGTATCGGCTAAAGAATGGCTTGAAAGGGGAATAACTTCTTCAAACAGGGAGTGAGAAAGGGGGGGGGGTCTGGGAATTACCACTCTCAACCAAAAATTTTAAATAATATCATAAATTGGGCGGCCCATAATTGTTTGTTTGCCGGGAGAGTGGATAACCCCAGATAAGAGAACAATAAGGAAAAAAATTGTATTGATTGGTACTTGTCGGTTATATAGTATGTTTTTAATGCAATATTATGGTTATTGTAATATTGAACTTGAGGGAGCAAAAAATTTTCGGTTATCCGTGAAGGAATTTATTTTTCGGCTATCCGGTTATTCGGCTTCGTGACACCCACCTAACTCTGCCCCAATTTTGTTATAAAAGTTTTCATTTTTTATCAGTTAGTTATGGCTATGGGTGATTGACAGGGGTTCCGCAAAATATATGGCCATATAATGGGGTTTCCGCCCTACATTATGCCATAATCGTCCTTCTTTCCCTCCTTTATTTCCATAATCGCCTAGGAAAAATAAATAATGGCCATTATGGGGTTTTATTCGTTCCATAATTTTGAATGAAAAATCAAAACAAATTATTCAATTTTACAAAGTTTTTGAAACGAGTTTAGCATGTTAAAGCTCTTTATTGACTTTTAAGAAACGAGTAGCCTCAAGGTGATGTGGAGTCATGCTTTTTCGAAGCGATCCAAGTGTGATTTTTATTTTCGCGCATTCGGTCCTTCGCGTATGAGGGATTCCACCGCTCACTATTTGTTTTACATAATGGGGTTACGTCATCCCTAAATTATGGCCATAATCGGAGGCAGTTCCATACATAATGGCCATACTTTTTCTCCTTTCCTTCCATTATTTATGGCCATAATGGGCCCCTACCATTATTTTTGCGGAAGCCCTGGTGATTGATAACCGAAAAAACCCGGCCATAGAGACGATTTAGACGTATGAAAGTTTCTTTCTATCTTAAGATGTTCCTGGCCGTCCCGGTAACGTGATTTTCTCAGTGGGCGACTACATGCTGAGGTGGGGCATCCCCGGAGATGGCAACTCCCCCATCATCTCATTCATCATTGAAGCTGCAATTGAACCATCCGCACAGCTCAGCTCACAATCATTCGGTTTGATTACTTTCGTTTTTTGCCCGCAATCTAGTCAATTTTCTATTTTTCTTCTTGACCCTCCCGCGATTTCAGTTTTATTATTCGAAAGGAGCGAAGATTGGATTAGCAAACAAAAATGATTTTTTTGAAAGGAGCGAAGATTGGATTTGTAAACAAAAATGATTTTAAATCTTGCACGAACCGAAATTAAAAATATGAGGGGACACCCGGGTTCGAACCGAGGACCTCTCGATCTGCAGTCGAATGCTCTACCACTGAGCTATATCCCCATGTTACTCATGGAAAGTGGTTGAATCATATACCATAATATTTGTTCACTGCGTATCTGTGTTTTAGTTCAACAGCAGACAATGGAATTGGTGAGAGCATTTTCTTTTCACTGTTAAAACTTCAAAAACTACATGTTAAAAAGTGGTGGGTTATTCACAAGTACCAAAATGATAAATCAGTCCCATTTGTACCAAAATAAAAAATCAATCCCGTTAGTACCAAAAATATTCAATTGGCCTAAGACTATAAAGCCGACTACTTTAAGCTCTTGGTTAAAGGTCGCCGGTGGATAACCGGCTCTAATTTTCGTATAGAGTCCTACCCTCTGTTGGCAAGCTCGCAACACGTTGGCGCGACTGCGGCGGTCACTATTCTGCTGTTTAGTTTTCTTCTGTTTGAACAGTAGAAAATAAATGCAATAATTCGTTGGCTCACAATTCGACCAATCAGAAATCGAGTTGAATAATTTTGGTACAAATGGGACCGATTTTACATTTTGGTACAAATGACCGTTGATACAAATGGGACGTCACCTAAAAAGTAGATAATATCTCAAAATGTCGGGCTCTTTCCCTCCCACCACCTCGCATGATCATCGGTTGTATAATGTAACTAGTGCATTTACGAGGTTAAGTATGGAAACTAAATATGTTTCTCATGGCGTGGTTAATCCGCTTGTCAATTTTCAAAACAATCGGACCACGCGGTCAATAGTTTTACTTGTAAAAATTTGCAAGTGGAGGCGGAGGGGCAGGGCAGGTCAAAAATTAATTGTTGTTAACTGCAATTTTCCTTGCAATTAATTGATTGCCATTCCTGGTCAATTACATAAATTGATTGCGCTCTACCAACTAATTGCAATTAATTTTATCAAACACATTTCTTAGAAATACCCACACATTTCTCAGAAAAACCACAATATATGGACTCGCTTTTTTTTTACTTCCATCCACAAATTTGCTTAGAATATTTTCCAGTATTGCAGATATGTATATTCTGAGCTGTTGCAGTTATTTCTGAAAGTCAACAGAAAAAGAGCCAAATTCAGGAATAAAAGAACTGAACTACAAGCAGGAATAGTAATTTTTGGCATATTTTAGCGTATTTTCGGCGCCCATTCCGGCAAAAAAACTGCGTTTTCGGCAACAAAAGAGTTTTTCGGCAATCATCAGTTTTTTGCGAGATTACTTCAACGTTGTTTTTTTCGAACATCAAGTTTGGCTAACGTTCTCCTCTAAAATGGGAGACGGTTCAAAATGTGGTCAATTAAGACAAAACTTCGCCTAAAAAACAATATAAAACTAGCCTAGATTTCAAAGCAATCATAAAAGCAAACACTACAGCTAGTTTATTCAGATAAATGAAAAATTAGCCGAATCATTGCAATTTTGACTTGAAACTGAAATACAAAAATTCCCCTTTGCGTTTTTATTTCCCATCTTTTGGGAATCCTCTTTTCGGCGCGAACTGGTATGCTCGCTGAGCCGAAAGTAACGATTCCTGACTGCATGCGAAAGCTCTTTTCCCTCTTACACCTCAAATAAGCCTCAAACGCAACTTCGGAGGGGCTCATTTCGCACCAGCAAAATACATGAGTATTATTTTCCAAAAATAGACTGCGGTAAAGAAAATAGTTTAGGGAGAGCTGGAAAAAATAAACCAGGGTGGGATATCGGCAACTTTGGGCTGAAATATGAAGTTATTTGCGCTCCTCTAACGAACTTGCGCTTCTCAAAATGAAGTTGACATGCTCTCAAGAGAAGAAATTGACTTGACCAATTTTAGGGCGATGTGCCAGAAATCCCCTTGCCGGATAGAAAAGAGTTCCACTTCATCAAAGGTCAGTCAGTGTCATGTCAGAATCAGTTAAGTAGTTGATTAGTTCGTTTTTCACGTAGTCTTTAATTAGTGATGTATTTTTGAATGTCTGATGCAGCAAGATGATGTATTTTTGAATGTATTAGCGTCGTTTGGTGATCCAAAGGTTTTTAATGGACTTTGGGTCTAATTGAAAAAGGGGAAAAATTGACAAACAGAATTGAGGAAGGAGGGGAGTGAATATTGATCTGAGTTTTTATCTTGTTTGTTACAATGAGTGTTCATTGAACAGAAGTGGAGGGAGTGAGCAGCTATGTGTCCCTTCAGTCGGTGGTGAAGCCCTACTGTCGCTACAGATTCAGAGTCATAGCCAGAAATGACGTGGGTCTCAGTGTGCCCAGTGCACCCTCGGAAGAGTACCCCACCCCACAAGGAAGTAAGAGTACAGACAAGACTACAGAGAAAGTACAAACACCCAGTGCTAGAATACCCATAGCCATAAAAAATGTGCTACTTAGGAAAAAAAGAAATGTACTTTTCATCTGAATTGCTGGAGACAAAACATCATTTGGTTTTTCATTTTAGATTTGCATAATCTGAGTGCTGTTTTTGAACTTAAATGTTCAAAAAAACTGTTAAACGTTTAAAAAGTGTTAAGCGTTCAATTAAAATAGACGGGCGATCGGAAAAGCCAGTTGTCTGAGGTCCACCACAATTTGTTCTTGAGGCTGAGGCAACAATTTCAGCTCAGAAAAATAACCAAAGAAATTGCATGTATATATCTTGGAGCACAACAGCGGTTCTCCCCAAATAGCTGAACAGCTTGTGTGTTGTTCCTTTCAAAATAATTTTAAAACATATGTTTATTGTTGACTTTCGTTGTTTTTTATCATTGTGCTTGTCTGACGTTGTTCTTGACTTCACATGTGTATTGTTGTGTTGTTTTGTGTGTTGTCTGTTAGGTCCTATCACCAGAGTAGAGAACATCACACAGTACTTCGGCAGTCCAGGAGACCTCGCATTCCAATGGAAAGTAAGTCACAATCCACCGGAACTAAGTAGTAACGATATTAGGTACTGTTTAAGAGTCGTTGAACGTATTTTTTTTTCTTGGAAATTCCAAAGTTAATATTTTTTTTTCCATGAAACGTTTCAGTATTTTCTGTTTACTTGCGTTCATCGACTCTTTTCCAATTGTCTGTTGGCTGCTATGTTTTGTAATTCTGTTTCTGATCGATGAACGTTCAGCTGTTTTGAAGTCACCAAGATTGCCAAAAAAAGCAGTGCCAAAAAAGTGCTGCAAAACTTCATTTATCAATTTATTCGTATATTCCACCAGCGGATTTAGGGTTGGTGGGCTGTGAGATTTTTGCCTCTCTCGCCTCAGAGATTCGATACCGTGCCGGCCCAACAAATCTCACCTTTGTACTAATTTGAGATATCAATTTTTGGCCAACTGACCTTAAAATGTTTCTAACGGCGCCTTTGGCGCCAATATTTACTTATTTTGAGGGGAAGCACGCGCTTTACACACGCGTTTTTGTAGTAAAAAAAATGTCGAGAAACGCGATTTTTGGGCTGTTTTTTTTACACAAGCAAAGATTTTTGTAGCTTAGGTTTTTTTTCTAACTTAAGTCGCAAATAAAAATGCTCATTTGGTGGCGCTTTTGGTATATTTCAATTTAATCATATTTAAGCTTATTTGAGCATAATCAATTTAATGGCATATGTTGCTGCTTTGTTTTTGGCTAGTGTTAGGTCCTGTTTGCAAACATGTATGGGATATGTTGAGTTTCGTTTTTTTGCGACTCTTTGGAAAATGTTTGCACTTTTCGCGGAAATTTCAATTTTTCTCAAAAACTACTGTACCGATTTTCAAAAAAAAATGGTTCCAATAGAAAAACCAGCTGCTCTTTTCATGAGGCTATTCCCTAATTTTGGTAGAAAAAAGTCAAACAAGCCCATTTTTGACATTTTGGACAATTTTTAAAACATTTCGACTTTACTCAAAAACTACCCTGCCAAATCGGTGGTTAAAAGCTTTAACAGAAAGAAAAATTAATTGTGCGAATCTTACCTGCGCGAGCGGCTATTCCTTGCGTTTTTTGAAAAAATTATGGCTTTTGACGTTCTACTCGCGTTTTGGAAAGTTATTCTTTTTTTTTCAAACTAACCTGCTGATTCTGAGGTTATTAGTTCATTAAAACTAACATGGTGCTTAGATTTCCCTGCGTAATCTGTTTAACCTTTTTTATGTAGAAAAATTGATTTTTGTTTTGAATTTTTAACATTTTTTGAAATTTTTACCGTCGCTGTTCTCGAAAACTACTAGCTAAAATTGATATTAAGGGTTTAATCTAAAAAATCAGTGTGCGGAAATGATTTTTCTAAAAATTTGGGCGTGCAAAGCAAAGGCTATTCCCATGCTTAAATAGAGAAAAAAAATGGATTTAGGTGGTCGATTTTTGGAACCTTTTTCACTTTTTTTCGAAAACTACCAAGCCAAATCTGAGATAAAGACTTCAATTGAAAGAGCGAGTAATAGTTTTCTCCTTTAGATAAGCGGTGAACTCCCTAATTAAACAGATAAACCTTAGGGTTTTGAGTAAAGTCCACCTGAAATTTTGAAATTTACGCATTTCCGTATCAGCACAATATCTAACTAAAATTATTAGAACAGATAGAACCAGCATTAGCTGGGCCACTAATTTGCTTCCAAACGACCGTGGCGCGGATGCGAGGGAACTGGGAATAACGAGTGAAGAAAATATTTATTTTCTTTACTCGTTATTCCCAGTTCACGAGAGCTAGAGATCCATAAGGAAAAACGCTACGAAGCAAAGTAAGATACTTATCTCTGCAAGTGGCACAGAATGTCCTGACTTCAGCTATCATTAGAAGAAAAAAATACTAAAAAGTTGCGGTATTTTGAAAAGTGATGCTATAAAATCACTGATAATAATTCGCCTTATAAGTTTCAGTGAACGCAATGAAAACTCTTAGATAAGTTGTTTTGAAATTTTTCAGGAGTTAGACGAGACTGACTTTGGAGTTGCGTTCGACATCAGCTTCCTCATTACATTCATACCCCAATTCTCATCTGGAGGCAATAGAATAAACACAATCGAAGTGAAGAACGCGCCCTTCATGCATCGACTGGCCATTCCAGCAAAAAATTTGAGTTCAGGTAGGTGCAGTCATATATCCGAATATGCGGCCAAATTTATGGTCTAAGAAACAAATTATAAGATCATTCCTTTTATTCTTTTTTTTTCGAATGAAATGCTTAAATTCTACACATTCTTTTCACTTGCAAGGAGCAAGGAAATTATATTTAGAAACTAGACTTCCCGGATAGTTTGTCCATCCCGAACTAAAAAAACTGGAGTTGCTTTATTAAGGAACCGCAGCAACCTCCAGGCCCATTCCCTCTTAGTCTAGTGATAATGCGCGTGAGATCTAGCTAAGTATGTGCGGGCTTCCCCTTTTTTGGACGTTGTTTTGAGTCGTGAACGCAGTTTGACTTTTGATTTCTTTTCAAATTCAGTTTCCTTTGTTAAAAGGAAGACAAACTCCACTATCGAACACCAAAAGTGTAAAGTTTACGAAAAACGTGATCGACTTCTAGTTGCGAAAGTTTTTTTTACAGATTTCCCAGAGGGTAATTTCCCACTGGTTATTTTTAATCAAAAAAAGTGTCAAAAACAAATTGTTCCAGAAATTTAAAGAGCTTTAGAGTCATCTTTTGTTTCGCGGAAAATCGAAAGCTGAGATCTTATTAAAAAATAGGTCTTTTTTATGTCTTTATGCGATGTTCTTTGTTTACTGTCTCTGTTGGCTATGTTTTTGGTTAATTTTTTTTTCGGATTATTTCACATCGCCTTTTACTTAATCTTTTGAAGTGCAATAATGGATTTTTTTCTGATTTTGTACTCTTCAGGATGGTTGAGGTGTAAAATGGGTAAAAAACGTTTTATGACAGTAATTTTCTGTGGCAATTTGTTTTCGGCTCATCGGTCTTCTAATCAACTAAATGGCCACTGGATAAATAATTCTTTGTTTCAACCTGTTAATTGCGTTTATGTTCGGTGTTTTCCTGAAGTTGAACATCAGTCAAGACGATTTAACGAATTTTTTGTTTTTTGACGTTTTTCTAATTGTTGGTTTCTGCCACATTTTATTTTGGCTAGCTCGCAATGCTATGCTTGCGTTTTATCGCAAGTGCCGCTAAGCTCCGCTTCGCCTCTCCATTACAATGAGCCACTGACTCTGATTGATGTTGGCTGCTGTAGATATGAATGTGAATCCGAACATGAGGAGGGAGTATTCTGTGTCAGTGCAGCTGATGAACAAGTTCGGAAGAGGGCCGATGAGTGAGAGGACCACCATATACACACTGCCCAATCGTGAGTAAAATTTAAAAGTCAGATACCTGATATTACAAAAGTTTAAAAAAATAAATGTTTTCACGGTCACTTTATGTGATCATTTGGCTATTTAGTAGCTATCTCGAGGAACCTATATTTTGAAAAAGTATTTAACTACATAATTTTTCAGATAGTATTTTTGAAGTATACGTTTTTTGGCAGGTCACAACTAGAGAAAAATATATTTCAAGTTCAGCGTGCCTAAAATGCCATCTTGAGGGTTGATTGTTTAATTATTTAAGCTTAAATAAGCCATAGCTTGTTCTTACTAGAAGCTTATGTTTTTGAATTGTGTTGTGTAGCCCCCAGCATGCCCATTACAAATTTGCGTGTGATCAGAGACAGTGGCACCTCTGTGAAGGTGGTGTTTTTGGGAGTGGATCTGAACACATTCCCAGACGACACATTCCAGGGATACATTGTGAGTAAAACAGTCTTTCCTATAATCAACTACAATCAAACGACATTCGTGCGATAAGTTTTTGAAATGATGAAAAATTTTGTAAGGTAGATCTGACGCGAGAGCCAGAGGAGGTACTATTCAATGAGGATTGTGGTATCATAAAAATAGTTCTGTTATTTACACAACGCGCTTTAGCGATCTTCGAGTAATAGTACGAGTATTCTTTTTTCCAGCCTGGTGCCCTTTTTCAGGCTCTTTTACGGCTTTTTGATAGCATGCGCGTCAGAATTTGAGTAGTAATCAGTTGAAACAGTTGATGCATTTTTGATTCATCAAATGAACCGAAAAAAGCTTTTTGTTTGTACAATTTACTATTTAATACAAATGGACTATGCTCGACAGGACTGTTAGCTTCTCTGCGATTCGCAGGAACAACAATAAAAAACTCCATTTCAGAAATTTCCCGACTCAGAATATCTGGCAATTTTTTGAAGCGGCTTTTCCGATTTATTTTAAAATATTTCAATTTATTACATGCAGCAAAAGTGACACCAGATATATATGACACAAATGTCACTTTTGCTGCATAGCATTGGCGATTTATTAGCATATGCAGCTGCGTTATTAGTAGCCAGTGTTAGTAGGTTTTCAAAAGCCCGTGGCGCAGATGCGAGGATGTGCGACTTCAAATAAATTTTCACAGCTAATTTTTGTCGTTTTCTCGATATGACTGTGCAGGGGTGGGAAATAGATAATCTCATATTCGATATATCGAAGTATCTAGTGACAAGCTTTTACTTCTTACTTGCAATCTAACTGGAAGTTCGAATCTCTATTTTGTGATATATGGGCGAGTATGGGATAATCTATCGAGAGGGTTCAATGAATCGCGATAATCTTTCGACACCAAAATGTCTATCGTCGATACGATACTTCACACCCTTGGACTTTATACGTATTGCTTTATTCATTCCTCCCTCCCGCACTGAGAAGTAACTATGACCTAAGGTTTTTTCCAGCCTAATTTGACTACCTGAAAGAAAGCTCGCATGGTAATATATTTATATTCCCTGTTTTCAGACTAAATTTGACGATGAAAGGCTCACCTCTCAATTTATTTGCACTAGAATTGAATATAATTCCACTACAATTTAGCATGTTTTAGCTGTTTTACCACTCATTCTTCCATTTTTGGGCTAATTGAATTGTCCTCACTAAAAAAACTGATTTTTTTTCTATAGAGTTTTTCGTTATTTATGAGTATCTTTTCTTAAATCAGCATTGTCGGAACGTTCTGTGCATTTTGCACAGCAACCGGCTCCCCTTGTTTAAATTATGGAGTCAGTTACTAAGTGTGTTTTTTTTGTCAGATTGAGTATTGGCGCCATGACAGCGAAGAGTATGACGAGACGAAGCGAATGTACGAACTGTCGCCGGGTAACAGGACAGAGTACAGAGACGAGGATATGTATGTGTTCGATCTGCAGCCGAGTATGAACTACAAGTTCGTAGTCTATCCATACAATTTAGCAGGGAGGGGACCACCTAGCAGACAGGTGTTTGGAGAGACATACTACCAGGGTGAGTTGAAAATATGTGAGGCAAATTTAGATTAAGCTTTTTAAAGAGAACTTGACTTGTCTACTATTATTAGTGTGCGAGGGGGGGCGTAGAGGGATTGACCGTGTCCCTGCCCTTAATCATGGTCCGCAAAGTTTTCGAAATTGCTTTTTTTATACTGATTTCGGCTGATCAACCTAAAGATTTTCCTAAAGAGCCTTAGTTGAAATTATGCGCATTTATTTTAAATTTTGGGGCGTTAAGCAGCACGGAGCTCCAAACTATTTGAATGGCTGATAGCACTTACCCTACCCTCCGCCACAGGGGAGCGCGAAAAAAATAGACAAACTAAATCCTCCTTCGAAGTGGGAACTAATTTGGGCAGATTTTAAAAATCGTGTCGGATGATCTGAGCATGCCTGCGTTTTGTCTGCAAAGCTTCATAATCAGGGCAATAACTAGAATTTTCAAATATGTAAGGAATGCTTTAATCACTTTTTTGAAAGAGATTTTCAATGAGTTTGTGTTTGTAGCTCCTTCTGAGACTCCGAGTAGCGTGGACGTGTACACATTCAGCAGCAATGCAGTCAGAGTCAGGTGGTCTCCCATCAAGATGACAGAGGGCGACTCCAATTTCGAAGGATACAAGGTCAGTGTTGTTGTTGTCCTTAGCCCCCGGGGGCATGTCTGCGATGCACAAACTCAGTCCTAGAAAAGTCGTCACTTGATCCATCGGACGAAGCCACGTATATATTGAAGTTTTAAAAAGCTGTGTTCTGGGAAAAACTTAAATGGTCGAACAAGGTCAGAAGGTCTGAATCAAAATGTCTCTTCAAGTAACAAAAGTACAGTAACACCTCCTGATTACGCTGCTCAACTTAAGTTTAACCTCGTTGAACTCTGTTAATATATTATTTTGAAAAGAACAAGTTCATAAAGTTGGCCTTCAGCAAAAACAGTCTCAGCATGATTTTTACCAGAGGTTAAAACCTAATTGTCGTGTCCGGCGTACCTTGAGCTGCATAGTGTGTCCGTTTGTGAATCACACTGGAACCGTGATGGTAATTGAACCACCTTTGCTGAAATCAATAATTAATTATATACACAATTGGAGGTATACACAGATACACGCGCTCGCTGTGGACTATACGTAGCCATCTGCTGAATAAAAATAAAACGCACCTTTTTTCCATTGCTTCAATCTATTATAGCTCAAGCTTAAATCAGTGTTAACTCTTTTTAACCTCAGAACGAAATTGAAACAGTCTGTTTGTTACATTAGTTCTGAGTTTCTAAACATTGGCACTGGTCAGAATTGTTTTGAACCCATTGTCAATCGTTCACTTTTGTTGCAATTAACTCGATACCAAAAACTTCTTTTCGATACAAATTCATTATCATAATACTAGTTCTAATTCGCGAGAATTCATTTTCTTCAATAATATTCGAAGTGATGTCGAGATTGAAACTGGACGATGAAATGACTAGTTACTTGGCCACCCTGGAACATGACCTCAAAGTTGGCAGACACGTGGACTACACGCAGTTCATGGCATTCAAACAGTACTTGTGTGGAATAATCAGGGGCAAGCAACAATGACACATGTTTCCTTACACTTGCGTAGCAAAATGTTATATTACGAACTTTTTTTCCAAGTGTTATAGTACGATCTTTTTTGTTGTGACTTGAAGCAACAATATTTGCTGCACCGAATTGGCATGACAGCTTACTTGTTGCACCTTTTCAGCTTATTGATAACATGTGCTTTGACATTCGAATAGTTATAAGTTTACGCAGTTGATGCATTTTTAATTCATCAAGTGAACCGAAAAAAAGCTATTTGTTTCAAACAACATTACAATAATAAATTCTCGATTTCAGAAATTTTCTAACTCAAAATATCTTGCAATTTGAAATGCATAATTTTTACATAATGTGACTTTTTGTTTTGTAGTTTATTACATGCAAAATTGTATCTTTTTGTATTTTGTGCTACCTTTGCTGCATCAAATCGGCAATTTATAAGCATATCTATGCGTTATTGATGGCTACTTTTTGGGGATTTTAAGCATCCGTGGCTCAATAGGTGATGATACTCAAATTTGCTATGTCGCAGATTTTTGCTAATTCGAGTTTTTGCTAGCCCTCGAGTTTTTGCAATTTCGAGGCTTACTTCTACTTTTTCTTATGTCACTTGATAGAGCTGCTTTTTGGTCGTTTTCTCGCAAGTGTTTGCGAAGCGCAGCTTCGCCTCTGTGTTATTCATGTGGTTTTAATTAACATTGACAAATTTCATTTCTTACATATTTTATTTTGCAATAAGCAATGGTATTGCAATCGGGTACTAGCCTTTTTTCCCTCAAGAACTTTGTTCACAGAATGTCCAATTTTTTTTTCTCGAATATTTAAACAAAATGATGAATCTTGTTCGGATTCGTGGTTTTCGTCGGTACGTTTTCTGTTTTGATAAATGTCATTTTTTATATCTGAGACAGTTTTAGTTGTTATGTTGTTTTTTGTTCAGTTTTGGATTGAGAAATTTTTAATACATGCATAAAATTTTTGAAATAGGAAGTTATTGAAAAATTGTTTAACATAAACGCAAGTTATTTAAGTGGTGCCTTTTTTTTAAAAAAAAAACAAAGAAATTTTTGAGTTAGTTGTGATTAATTGTTGCTTGACCACTTACCTCCAACAACTGACTAAATAGACAACACGAACTTGGTGGGGACTGTAGCTAATTTGCGTGATGATGTTGACTACTGGAGACAGTGTGAGAGTGAGATGAAGAAGAGATTGGCCGAAGTGGGCAGGGAGAATGCGCTGCTGAAAGTGCAGCTGAAGCAGCAGAAAGAGAGAGAAGCGACTTTTTAAAAGTGAAATTTAATTGCAGAGCAGAAACTAGAAGCAAAACCAACTGAAAAATTTGATAACTTGCTCCTTAATGTGATAATATACGGTTTTCTTAATTTCTGGTGCGAAGTATCTGGTATAGAAGAGCGACGTATTTTATTGGGAAATGCGGGTTGCTGTGCAAGCAGTTCACAATTTTGGCGAATCTATAAAAGAATAAATCTGCGTTTCAGATTTTTTTCATGGTTAAAGCGGGAGAAAAAAACCTTCAAAACTACTTGGGCTACTCAATAACTTGAACCAGAATTCATGTATACCTACTTATTACCCTCGAAACTGCCCCATAAATCCCTCCCCTTTTACTTCCACAGACCTGTGGTTAAGGCCGGTGGAACTAGCGATATTACTTAGCGTGGAGACGAATGAGCAGAACCTGCCCATAATGGGCTGAAAAAAGAAAGAAAGAAACCCACGAAACTCATAGTTATGATCGCGCAACATACTCGAGTATACTCAAAGATCTACACTACTTTTACTACTCAACATCGTTGATCACACAATTGAGAACTTCAAACGTCAACGTTGGAAATAGTTTAGCGCAGATAATATCATGGCACTTAATTGGACAGGGATAAAGCTCAGACTGAAAATCAGTTGCAATTTGGTCTGAAAACGAAAATATTCAGACAGTTTTTCTCGACGCAGTCAGCTTCTATTGTTTAGGCGAAATATGTAATTTTAACGCGTCATTTTATGGATTAATCGTATAAATCATTTTCTATGTTTTTTCTTTGTCAAAAGTTTTCCGTCTCATTGTTTTGGGTTGGCAATTTGAGTTTAAAGCTTGCTTTTCAAGTGTGCAAATTCAAAATTTCCAAGTGGATTAACTGAAATTTGTTTACTTGATGATTTTCCAAAATCATTTTCCAACGAGCATCGATAAAAAATGGAAATGGTTTAGCGTCAAAAGTGGTAACAATTTTAAGAGTTCGAGTGGCGTAATAAAGTATCTATCTATCCTTTTTAATGCGTAAAAGAATGAACTGATTGTCATGTATAAAGGTCGAGCTGATTTTTTGTTTTTTTTTTTCAAAAAAAGTCTGAAATTGGGAAATTCATTCACGCTCAATTTTGATTTTTTGAGCTTTGTTACTTATTTTTTTTTAGTTCTGTTCATTTCCTGTTTTTGAAACAGAGGCAAAAACCTCTATCGAACGGCAAAAGTGTCAACACTCTATCGAACGGCAAAAGTGTCAACACTCTATCGAACGGCAAAAGCGTTCTCTGAATAGGATAACTTGAAGAAAAAAGTGCCAATACCAAGTAATTTATAAGTTTAACGTGTTATAAGTTTCTCAAAATGTCGATTAGTTTTTTATTCGATTTTGTTGAGCTCTTTCTACCATTGCGACAAGAAAGGGTGTTGCAACCGGGTACTAGACTCGGCTTCGGCTCGGTGTATATTTTTCCAGCCATCTGTTGGCCGTGTTTCAAACAAGCAACGCTTGTGCTTTGAGATCAGTTCCATTTTTCCTACATAAGTTTGGGTTCAAATCTGTGTTCATTTTCCGTGAGCGTTTGTTTCTATTTGGCGATTTAAAGTATCATTAGCTATATCCGCTCTAATAAAGTGGCTTGTTCATATCCCACGGTTTCCTTAGAGTTGTTGTGACTACACTTGCGATTAGCAAGCGTTATCAAATTGGACTATATAGTTTTTCGGGTTAACAACTTGTTTAACAGCATCACTTGGTATCCTGGGCCATAATAAATTCAACATTCCTAGCGTCTACGGAACAATTAGTCTGGAGGTAACGAATATGCCTGTGACGGCATTTTTTTTCTGTATGCATTTTTCATTGTAGTGGCTTTTTGTGTTTTCATTTACCCCGCAGTTTGTAATTCTACTTACCTTGATTTAGTATTTTCTTTTGATTTTTTTGCTTTAAAAAAATTTCCGTCCTGTATTATTTTGGCTTTTATTTTATCAGCTTTCTTAACTATTTTCGGGTAGTTCGGGGAACCATATTTTTTATGGTTTCTCTCCTGATCGCGCAGAACTTTAAAAATCTCAGAATAGAATTCATATTTCAAATTTTTTCATGAGAAAATTTTATGATCGCTCGAGTTTTTGAATTTTTATTAAGCGCCGTCGAATGTATTTCTGGGCATATTTTCCGCTAATTGAACATCATTCAGGCAATATTTTGAAGATTTTTAGTTAAGGTTTCTTTGAAAATTTTACCGTTTTCTCTGGACTTAGTTGCTTCCTTCCCGTTCCTGTCTGCTAGCTTGCGACGCGACTTTTGTGGTATCGCAAGAGATTCCAAGCTCAGCTTTGGCTCTGTGTTCTAATTTGGATATGGTTTTCTTGCAAACCTTATTTCTTAGGATCTTTCGAGCTCTTCTAATGCCGATTTTACGACTCTTGTATATAAAGTTCACCCCTTTGACTCTAATGGTATAAGTTGTATCAAAACGGCGGCACTTAGAAATATTTGTATAATGAAATTTTGCAATTAATTGCATAATTTTCGAAAGTCAAAATATTCCAAAAAAATGCTTTTTGCCTGGTTTTAATGAGTTCATTAACGCTTTTATCACTTTCTTCTGTTTGTTTTTTTTTAGTTTCGTCTTCCAAGTGGATAGCAAAATTGGCTCTCCTCTAAAAACTTTAAATGCGTAGAAAATATGGATCGTTAGTTATTTTTGGAAAATTTATACTATATATATTTTGGTTGGTTATGCAATACCCGTCGTCTGTAATTACTTATTAACTTCCATTGATGTTTCATTTACTGAGACGTAGTTTGACTTAACGAACATGACCCTAACTGAGTCGCACTCATTGTCATCTTTTGTCCAAATGACTAGAGTTTGTTTTAAGTCCGAGTTTTGTTTAATTACACAACCTAATTGGGTAACTTTTCAACACAGAACCTAACCCTAAGTTTGCTTGCTGCTTGCAAAAATTGCAAATATTTCAAGGCTTAGTTTTTATCGACAGTTTTTTTTATTTAGAACATCGTTATTTAGAAATCTCACTGGTTTAGCTTAACAGAATAATGCCTACCCGCGATTTTCGATTTAGAAAATTAGAAATACAAGAATAGCGATTACTTCACTATTTTGTGTGAGAACAAAGATTTGTGAGTTAATTAGAGCTATATGTAAAGTTGTTTTCAGCTCTTAATTAAGAGGTTCATGTTGCCGTTTCAACCATTTTCTGTTCCGTCGTAGCACCACTTCATAAAGCACTGATAGAAGAAACGACACGACAAATAACGCTACAACCACTAGATAAGGTACATCGTAATCTCCATACCGCTCGAATAGGTAGCCCAGTAGGGTTATAATGGGTAGATTGAGACATCCATTGAGCAAGTTGAACAGCGCAGCTCCGAATTCTCGATGGACGCAGACGCTTTCCCGGATGAGGAGAAAATCGGCGATGTTGATCACGCTGCCCCAAATCCCGATGAAGAAGTAAAAGCAACCCTAATGGGAAATAAAACTAATTAATTAAAATTTTGGAATCATTTTTTCGAAATCGTTTGCTTTGAATCGGGTTTTCTCAAAGATTCATTAAAAATCAGTTCCATTTTTTTCAGCCTCTGTCGATTTAAGATAACGTTAGTTCTATTCTGACCAACTAAATGAGCGATAACTCGCGTCAAATTGAATAATATCCAAAAATGTGAGAATATTAAAAATTGGTGCCAAGAATAATAGTGTGATTGGTTTCGAGTTTCTTTACCTGATAAGTGGGACCAGTGATGAAGTTGCACAATAGTGTAGAAACTACCAACGACAGCTTGGCAATCTGACTCATCCTAATCGGGGAAATATACCCCTTAGTCGCAATTATCCCCACCGGAACCCTGGCTAGAATCTGCATTAGACCATTCAGTGCCAGACTCCGGGGTCCGGACTTGATTCCAAGAGAGGCCAGCCGAACCGGATGGTGCAACATTAGAGCGTCGAAGCTGCAACCCCCGAATCCAAACGAGGTCCAGCACAAGATAAACTGGAGATTGGTAGCAAAGTATCCCAATAGTTCCATAACTGTGACTTTGGACTGGCTTTTGAGCGAGCAGGATTTGCTGGAGCAAGTGTTTATATGTGAAAGCGAGGTGCCGCTTTGCAACAGTTTCTCACATGACATGTTTTCTAGTATTTGTGCCGCCTCTTTGTGATCGATTTCTGCGTGTGTATTGTTTTCGCTTTTGCAAAGTAAAGGTTTCTCCGGGTTGTCAAGTTTAGATTTGGATGACTTTTGGGAATCTGTGACAAGAGATCTTCTGGGTTTCATCACAAGTGGAGAAATGATGATGGCTGTGATGTAGAGAATGATTACGAAGAATAGTTGACTTCGCATCACCACTTCCCACCCTCCGTCCTCCATGAAGAGGGCGATCGTGACGTAGATGATAAGGAGTCCTAATCCTGTTCCACTAAAAAGAGGAAGTTTATTCAAGACATCTCCATTGGAACAAAAAAATTATTTCTCGATTTTTTGAAGAAAAAAAAACACTTTTTTGAACCTATAGAAAAAAGTTGATGTCATTTAGGCTTCAACTCGCCTTGGTTAGAAACCAGACCGGTCAATGGCGGGCTTTAGAACTCTAGTTTTTAGGGGTTCTTGTGATTAAAGAAGATTCCATTGCTAATCTTTGTTGTTCCGATAAAATTATTCTAACCTGAGAAAAATGGCGGAGAAGACATCTAACTGGTCATCCCTAAATGACTGATATAATCCAGTGTAACAGGAAACTATGCAAATTCCGACTCCAAGAGAAGTGATTGTTCCCCGGAACAGCAGAAGCGTCAAGAACGAGTGGGAATAACTGGATCCAAGGAAGCCAATGATCATCAGAGTACCACATATAGCAAGAGTAGTACAGGGTTTCAGTTTGTGCTTGATGATTATGAGTTGCAACAGGGGAATGGAGAGCAGTTCCACTGCGAATCCAGTGCTGTTGATGATTGAGGCGTCGGTGGAGCTGAGAAGTCCAGAGTCGAGCCAGGCGGCCTGGAAGAAACCGGAGGCATAGCTGAAAAAAATAGACATTTTCCATAATCTAAAGTTTTATGGATAGAAAATGCATTTGATTTCATTCCGGAAGTTTCAGTTTCTTAGTAGCAAGTTTTATTAAGGTACAGTCGAACAAAAGTGAAAGCAATCTATTTATCTATCATGAAATTACTACAGCAAAAAGTCTGAAGTTTTCCCAACCTTTCTGAGACGACTGCGTAGCTGAATGCAAGGGAAATTGCGACCAAATAGTCTTTCAAAGTATTACCACTCGTCATCTGTAGAACTAGATAGAACACGAAGACACGGTCAATTAGTTAAGTACTAATTGTTTTTTATCAACCCTGTTGTCTTGAAGAGTAGTTTAGTTCTCAAAAGGAATCAGTACTGCGCCTATGAGTGTGGAAGAAAGGAAGCTAGTTAGCAATTTCAAAGTTCAGTTTTTGATAACAATGATTTTTTCCTCGTGCTCTCAAAGTCAATTGTAAACCGATGATTTATATCTAAGTTGTCATCGATTGGATATAAAACAGTTTGCTTATCGATTTAGTTTATTTGTCAGTTCTCGTGATTTAATGACATGACTTATTTGTCTGTACTGAAAGCTGCTTGGTACTTAGCTATGCAAAGTTTAACCTAAAGGTTAACGAGGCGCATTAGTTTGGGTTAATTTCAGACCAAAAAGACGGATTGCCATCCTTGAGATACATTTCCGTTGATAATCCGGCGAGTTTATTTGGACGCAACGCCTGTCGTCTCCATTTATGGTCTTAATTATGGATGTTTTAGTTCTCGAGACTTTCAATATATTGAGTGGCTATTTTTTTTACTGGTGGCTGAGGTAGCTAAACTTTTAAAACGCAAAAGCCCTGAACATATCTATATGCTAATCGTGCTTTGGTGTCGTCAAATCATTGCGTCCTAAAAATGATGTTATACAATCAAATCATTCATGGTGTTTTGGTAGTATACACACTAAATCGACCTGAGTATTTGAATTGTGTTGATTTTTGGTTTACCATTAGGAGAGTGCAATACGCAATGTAAGATGAAACTTTTTTTCCTCGAGAGAAAAGAAAAACTTACACGCTGTTCAACTCTTTTCTTATATTAATTCTGATGATTTACGAATATCGACAAAGTATACCTGATATTTTCAAAACAATACCTTGAGTTGGAAAAGAGCCAAACCTGAGATGAAGATGGTGATGGCGAGTTGGTATGTTTGCTTAGATCTTCTACCGGAAGTTTGGCCTGCCTGACAACGACACAGAAGTGTTCGACTGGAGAAGGAGAGACCAGGACGAGACAGAGGCAGTCATCTATGGACTGGAAGGAGGGGAGAGATACATTCTCCAGGTGCAGCCATACAGCAGAGGAGGCTTCGGAAACAGATCCGAACCGATCTTGTTCCTCATGCGTAAGTGTCTTATTTCATCACAGCTGATCTTCTGGTTTTACTAATCAATTCGAATGACCTTATTGAATTTCGAATAAGTGATTATGAACGAAGACGTAAATCAGTTGTGAAAGATAATTCATTTTCCAAAAGATTGAACTTGTAACTTTCTTTTCGGGGTTTTCTGGTTTCTTTTTGTGGACGTTTTTCCTGCTCTGTGTTTGTTTCGTTTACTTTTTTTCGCAGTCAACAACTCAGTCTCAAAATTTATGTCGATGCGAAGAACTAGAAAAAGTCTGGACATGATGGCTTGGGCATGCCAGTCATCCGTGCGTGATTGTTTAAGAGTAATGAACGTTGTGAAGACTTTTACATAGGTCTTGCTGATTTTTTTGTATTCTTTTTTAAAATATTGATGCACTTAGGTTATAATGCACTTTTTGAAATCAATAGAAATTCATCTGCTGACAACGTCATAAATAGCACTCTCGAATTACGAACGTGCAAATGGTGCAAAAAAATTCGTGGACGATTTCTATCTTAAAGTTAATTTTTAGATTTCCAGCGGATTAAAAACTTTACCTGTTGATCCAGTTTTCTCAAGTTGGGTTAATGTTATCAAAAAGCGCCAAACATAAATCGTTCTAGAAATTCAAAGAGCTTAAAGGGCATCTATTTTATTTCTTTGTATTTTTTTATGTTGCGTTCATTACATTTTTCCAATCTTCGATTGGCTATGTTTTTAGGTTTCAATATGGTGTTGATTTTTTCGGGAAAGTTAAAACTTGCGTACGCTCTTCACGGCAAAATCCGTTCTCGAAAAACAATTTCATTGCTTAATTAAATTGAAGGCAAATCCGTTCTCAACTAAGAAATGGTGCGAAAAAAACATGTTTGACTCCTAGTTTCGAAAATGAGTTTTAATTTTCAGAACTTCCAGAAGACTAAAAAATAGTCTTTCTCAAAGCGGATTAGTTTTATCAAAAAAGTCAATCATCAAACAATCATGATATTCAAAGAGCTCTAAGGTGATAATTTTTTTTCCTAGGAAACTCGATTATCAAAAAGTCATTCCATGTCCTTGAGTTCATTGACACTTATCCATCTGTGTGTTGGCAGTATTCATGGGATTTAGAAATGTTTCGATCCTTTTTACTTTTTATTGGAAAAAAGACGCTCGGTGAAAAATACATGATACGTGGTGTTTACATTTAAGGTTATACTGACAACTTCAGATATCTTGGTATTCTAATAGACAAGTCATTTCTCGAGACCTGATTGATTAAGTTTGCATAAAATTACTAAAATTAAAATTAAAAAAATGTACCGGGCGCGATCAATGTTTTCTAGGAAAATTGGGATACAATTACATAAGTCTTTTTAAATGCCATGAAAAATCGTATGGCCTTATCGTGTTTGGTTGATCATCAAAAAAGATATTTGAATTAACTTGACTTTAATAAAGAAATTGGTATTATTAGTCAACTCAGTGGTGGTAGAGTAACAATTTGTGGGTGTGTAATATATTTTGTTCCAGGATACACGAAGTTCAACATTCTGTGGCGAGATGCTTCAGAGAAACACACAGTGGCCCTTTGGATCCCACTTGTCCTACCATTCGTCTCCTTCTTTTTCTCGTCCCTGTCTTAAGTAGATAGCTTTAAAAAATAAGCAGCAGCAATATTGGAAGTCTCAACTTTTTAGCACATAACTGAATTTCCATTTTTATTTCATCAGCCTTTCCTTCGTTTATCGAACGCACATCTATAGAAAGTAGAAGTCATAAATACTCGATGCAATATGTCTGAAACAAACAGTATCTGAAACGATCGATTGGAAAACTTGAAGTTTGCTAGTTTATTTCGAAAATGAAAAGTGAAATATCAATTACTATGAATTTGTTTATATTCTTTGGTTTTATGCTGTTCTATCCTCTAATAATTTTTTCTTAGTTTTCCGCATTTGTAAAAAGAAATAAAATTTCATTGCAATGTCATGTCCTATTTATTAATTGATTTTAGATTTTGTACAAAATTTACTGCATGTGCAGCTTCAAGTGTACAATTTACTGTTGTTAGTCATCTTTTGAAGCTCGATACGGGAATCAGACTAAGCCTTCACGACCTGTCCATAAGAATGATAAAGGAAAAGCAAGTTAAAAAACCACTGTTTTGATTCACAAGATCGTTACTACGTTGTACATTTTTATTGCTTGATGTTGTGGTCCTTGGATCTTTTGTGAATCTGTCAAACACGGCAGCTGTTTTGGTTTTGTAGAAATCAAATGATGAAAAATATTCAACTATCAGAATCGTCCAAAAAGTTTTAAAATTCTTTACACTGAAGTTTTTATGGTGCGACAGTGAACAAATGTTAAACCGCAAATTTGGCTGAAAAATTGACCACAAGAAGCCTATCAATAACCGCAATCTTATGCTTTTCGCTTTTGATAAAAAATTTACACATTTTTCAGGATAAAATGTCAATCAACATTTGAATTGCTCTTCACTAATTTTCTCACATTGTTCGCAAAAAGGTTGTTCTCAATTTTTGTAATGCAACTTGCATGTAATTATGCCATTTAGGAAATTTTTCATTTTAATGCCATTTGGGAATTATGGCATTTGAGACGGAATCGTTTTTATGCATGTCTAAAATTAGGTTTCAAGATGTTCCGCCTGATACATACTGGAGGAAATTTAAAACGCAGCATGAAGCATAAAACGCAGCAATTTAATACGCAGCCTAATAATTTTTCATAGGAAAGTTTTCACATGAAAGATTTCGAATTTTTAAAATTAGTTATACTTGGAGAAAATGATTATTTCAACTTGTTATGATGCTTTTCAATGTCGCGAAAAAAAATTTGGATCTTGAAACAGCTCGTTTTGACAAGGCTAGGGTTTATAGAGCGGGAAAGAGATTATCATGTAGATAGATCGGAAATACGAGATAGGTAAATCAATCAACAAAGGAAAATGAGATTTCTCATCACAATGAAAAATGTGACTGTTTTTTGTCGTGTTCTTACAAACGTAACAATTTGATTACGCTCATATCTGATTTTTTTGTTGTTGACGTTTTTAATGTTTAGTTCAAGTTTTTTTTCGTAGAAACTCATTTTTTTTTGCACAAGTCAGTCATCGATAGTATTTCAGCCTTTTCTTCTTTCATTTAATGTACCCGCATTTATAAAAAGTAATATTAGTCATACTTATTCGATGCAATATGTCAACAATATCTGCAACGATCTTAAGGAAAGTTTGAAAATTTATGAAAAGTACGAAAATTTCAAATACTATGTTTCTTTTTTTTGGTATGACTTCTATCCTTTTATTTTTATACAATTTTTCACATTTGTCATATCAAATATAGCAATGTCATGTCCATATTATCAATCAACATAAGATTTTGTACAAAAATTATTGCATATACAGCTCTTAGTGAATTTTTTACTGTTATTTAGTCAGTTTTAAAGCAGCACTGGAATTGGATCAAGTTAATCTGAGAGAGTGCTAAAGGTTAAGCAAGAAAATATACATTTTACAAGCGGTTCGCGGTACTTCTATAACTTGCGGTACAAGCGCTTGTATAACTTTCTAACTAAATGGATAAACAGAAGAAGAATAGTCGATTGCCATGTAGTGCAAAAAGTTCAGACTACAATTATAACAAATTTTATTTTTGAAATAGTATAGTTTTCTTGCGCGTGGAATGATGAACGGATGTGAATGAAATCCTGAAATAAGAAAAATTGCCATACAACAGTTTTCGGGTCTTATGCACTAAACAGCCCAAAATTAATGTTTGTATAACTTGAGCTGAAAGTTATGCGGTCGAATCTGATTGGCCCAATCAAATTCAAGCAACACGGTCAAGCGTTTCAGTCAACGTTTCCAGCAGATAAAAATTTTAGCCGAAATTAAAGAAAATATATAATTTGGTCACATAAAAAATTAATTTCTCGTCAATTCTGAAACTTTCCCCAGACAAGAAAAATTTTGTGAAATGGTTTCAACAAAACAAAAATTCTTAGGTTTTGGTAATTTCGGCTAACAATTTTATCAGCTTGAAGTTTTATATCAGTACAATCAAAGTGAAAACCGTTTTTTTAATACTAAAAGAGCTCTAGCATTTATCAAGCGACATATTCTGTTGAATATTTCATTAATTTTTTTTTCGTGATTTTGCGAAGACAGGAATTTAAAAAATATGACACACTAAAAGACAATTCCTCCAGAATTTCAGTGATTGGAACAAAAAGAAATCGTAACAAAAATAGAATTTTGAGAAATATCTCCCTGAAACCAAAACAAAAGAGATCGTACGCATAAAATCCTCAAATGTAAAACGCTACATTAAACTTTTTATGCCCACAAACGTTCGCTGTGTTGTTCAAAAATTTGAAGAATCCGAATGACTTTTTTTGACAAAACAGCAAAATGAAAACTTATTGCGTACGAAGTAAACGCGTAAAATGTTTTGAAAGAAATAAGAATTGCATATTAATTTTGATCGAAGTTTCATTTAATTTTTCGAGACCAAAAACTGAAAAACAATCTATACGATAAGCCAGATGTACTCTGTTTGATCCGTTTTAAATCTTCTTTCAACTACTTTTTAACGTTTATGTTACAAGCAACTTTGCTTGTTAATTTATTGCTCCAAACATTGGTGTTATGAGAAGGTACTAACTAAGTTATTGGTTTTGTCTTAATTTGGGTGTTTTAACCCAACGAAAACTCGTTGTGGGTTGGTTATAGTAGCATTTGAGATAATTCTAAATGGCTAAATTATGGAGTAGTTTCACGTGATAGAAAGCAGGTCGCTCTATTCATGACTGTTTAGTTGTGATTTAGATTTCCATAAATTTCAAGCAGTTTTTTTTTCAGTATCAAAAAAGCATCATAGCTCTAGGTTTTTTTGCTGACGACGATACATTGCCATTCTGATTTACAACTAGACTACGTTCATGAGTTTTTAATTTTGAAGATTTAATAGTAGGATTTTGTTATACTTCGATGCCAATTACTTTTTCGGAACATTTTAAACCTTTCCTTGAGAACTTCAGATTAAACTTTTCTAACAATTTAAACTTTATTCATTAACTTTACTATGCAAAAAAAAACTGTCCTCATGCTGATTCGTTGAATGCTAAGCCAGGTGCTACTAGCATGAAATCGAATATCAATGGAAATCGAAAATCAATGTCTTCCGATCTTCTTCGGCTAATTTTACAAAAAATCTTTTGTGTTTTTTTTTCTGCTGATCAATCATCTCTTCAAAGCTCGCTGCTGAATTTTTTCACGGGTCTACACTAAAAGCTATACTAAAACTTAATTCAATTTTAGTTTTATTCAGTTAAAATTTTTCAATCCAAATTGGTAAATCAGCTTCTGTTTTCACTTAGGTGTTTGCAAATGTCTGTTTTTTATGATCATAAGTACAATAATACTAATAAGAATAATCATTACCCTTTGTAAGGTTATTGCAATTGGGTACTAGACTTCTGTACAAATCCTGTTTGCAAGTTTTGTTTTCTTCATTCTCTTTGCAAATCCTACTCTTCTTGGTTGCAATCATTAAGCATGGTTGAGTTTGTTATTTTAAATACCCGTCCTTTTCAAAATTCGTTTTTATGTTATTCGTTGTAGTTTTTTCAACTCGATTTGTTAAATTTTTTTGTACTTTTTCGGCTTAATAGGCTCGAGCCTATTTTATATTAACTTATTGGCCTAATTTTGAGTGGTTTCAAGAGAAACATAGTTTTTATGTGTGTGTTTTGAGGGCGAGGGGGACTTAATAATTTTTTGTAGTCTTTAACTTTTTTCGGCATTCTTTTTTTCGGCTTAAAAGATTTTGCCAAAATTAAATGGACATAGTGGCCGCATAATGTTCCATTTGACGCGTAAAAAAAGTTTGTGTGCGTGTGTGTGTGTTTGTTTGTTTGAGCGTGTGGGCGACGTGATATATATATATATTTTTAAAATGTTTTCAGCAGAAAGGGTTTCTGCTAAGCTATTTTCGGCTTTGTTACTCCGTGATAATTTTTATTTCGATGCTAGTTTCACATTCAATTGTCTTGGCTTGTTTTTGTTTCAAGCCTAGCTTTATCGATAGATCTGGTTCGAATTTTCTTTCGACTTAGCGGCTTTCATGTTGTGTATCGTAAGCGGTGTGAAGGTCAGCTTCGCCTCTGTGTAATAAATTGTTTCCAAACAATATTAAGTTGTGCATATAATTTTCAAAACAAAAACAAATCTGAACCGTATGGGAGAAAATTTTATGCCCAGCACGGTCCAATTTCAGGTGTCTCATTATGCCTCGAACAATAACATATTTTGCTTCTTAGGTCCAAAGGTTTGTTCGATTGGTAAAAGTTTAATAATTTTGCACCTCGTTATAACATCATTTCAAGTTGCTTCAAATCATGTCAAACTCTCAAAATGTTTCCTATGAAATCGGTTTTCCTACAATGATGTTTTGCAAAAAAAAACTATGATTTAAATTTTTAAATTTGATCAAAGAAACCCTTTCAAGACTGACATATGCGGTAACAAACTTACAACAAAATCAAACTTTTGGAGCTTCAGGTCTCATCCACCCTCCTCTGGGTTCTTCTTATTATCTGTTGCCCATTTTTGATTTGATTTTTTAGTATATACTATTTTTAATTCGTGTTCTGTTATGTCATCTCTCAATGGTTCAACTTGGCACTCTTTACGAATAACTTTCCTCTTTATTTTCGAAAATTCAAGCCCAAAAAATTCTCTATAATTACTGATATCACACAAGAAATCAAAAATTAAATCTAAGTAAACTTATTACCCTCGCAATAGGCAAGGGTATTGCAATCGGATACTAAGACAAAACCTTGTTTGAAAACTACTTCATGTTTCTTAGCATTTCAGGCCATTTTAGCGTGGAGGTAACCAGTGCGACGGGAAAACTCGCGAGCTCAAATCTGACGATGATCTAACTGTGTTTTTGGCCAATAATTTGTCTGCTTGTTTCTTGTCGACCTAGTTGACACATTTTTGAATAGGTTTTGTTACTGCGCATTTTTTTCTTTAATATTGCT